GAATAAAAGTGGCAGATAAATGACGGCACATATACAGTATATATAAAAATGTTCTGTATGAAGAACCCTAACACTAGATCAGCTTGAGCAAGAATTTCCCACACAGCTCCCTTTATAAATGGTTTACAAACAGGAACACTGCCTAAGCATCCTGTCTTGAAGATATGTGTCAAGTCGTGCAGACCTGATGAGATATTTTCAACCTTCAGATACAGCAGCTCGTCTGCCTCAGTCCTCATCAGATCCCAATCCTAAGGACAATTAGGGCAATCCAATAAGCTTTACTGTAATGCCGTCCTTATGCCAAGCCCTGCAGCTCTCGCATGTGTCTATTCACAAAATGTAAAGTCGTTGTTAGTATTCATATTTTTCTAATCATCAAGAGAATTTGTTTTTTTTTATCTTATTTTAATCCACCTTTATCATTTTAGAAATGTGTTTTCATTATTACATGTTTCAAATTATTTTTCACATTATTTTACTATACTTTATTAACAATTTTGCTGATTATTTGTCCATGTTCAATTATTATTTATGTTTTATGTCTTGTCTCTTTATCATCCATCTTTAATTTTAACGTTATGTTGTTAAATTCGTATTGGAGTGCATTTGTCTCTAAATCATTTTTAAACAAACTACCTATTCTCAATCACTTTCTCACTACCCTGTAAAGCGGTTTGACCTGCAATCAAATTTGTCTGAAGGTGCTTTATAAATAAAGTTTGATTGATTGATATACAGCCAGACCTCAGTTGAGCCACATATAAAATATATCCTCAGTCTGGATGGAGACAGAATATACTGAGAAATTAAGATAAGATTGAGCAAGGGGAAATGAGATCTTGAGCTGTATCTGTGAGAAGTATAGGGATGGAGTTTCAGTGATATTCTGGGCAGCCACCAATAATTTTCCCCCCAGCTGTTAGAAAGTGACCACAGTGCTTAATATAAATCACGGGGCCGTCGTACAATTTGTGCAACAAGAATTGAATAGAAAGCTTGAGGCATCCCTGTGAACATCCACACCGAGCGCAGGCGTCATGTTACTGAAACTAGTATTCTCTCACTTCCAACTAAGGCTGTTACCGTGAGCGAGCAGTGCCAGTTGCTGTGCCCTTGAGTGAGACAGCACCCCACTAAGCACATGTCGATCTGAGGATTACATTCAGGGCTTTAGGACGGGAAAGGAGGCTGTAATCTGAAACTGTTGTGTCTTGTTGCTGTGCACTTTTCTTAATGCCATGCTATCATGCAGCATGCATTGGTATTGTATGACTGTTGCCCGAGGAACTATTTTTGTCTCGCTAGATGAGTGCTGCACCATGTTTTCATTCCTCGACAATTTACTTTTTATAAGTAACCTTAACCCTAACCCAACATACAGCACATTAAAAATATGTCAAGATAACATAAAGAAAGTTAAGGTTAGAAGAGCAATAGTCCAATACAGACACAGACATTAGAAACAGGACAAAAACAGCTAGCCTCATTGCAGTGAAAAAAATCCATATACCCACATCTAACACTCACAGTTTCACAATATCATATCTAGTGTGTTGAGGTGATAACACCCAGGCTACCTAACACTGTTACATGTTTCTAGTTGACCCTTCACATTTGTAGTACAGATGTTAAGGGTGTGAGTGAGTAAATCTGAGTATCTTCATGTCATGCATTGTGGTATCATATTGATTATCGCAAGTATTACTTTCGTTCTATTGCTGAGGAAGCACAACAACTAGTGCCATGATGTTACACGTTACAGGGACGGTGATAGAAACTGATTCAAATGTTCTTACTTTAATAGAGTTAACCTTTTAAAATCAGACCACATGCATATGGTAGTGTGTTTTGTCCTATAAAAGTTTCCCTTAAACACGTTTTTTTTAAAATAATTTAATTGCCTTGCTTATGGTATCACTATGTTTCACAATGTATTGGATCGTAACCCTGTATTTTGACACTTATCACATTGCTGACAATACTGTGCAATATACTATACTATTTTACACTCATCATAAAGGTTAACTCTTTAGGAATCTATACAAACACAGTGAGCAGCCAGAGGATTGATTAACAATCCTCCACATTGAGTCATCTCCCCTCCATGTTTTGAAACAGATGTCACTGATGGTGATTGAGGTTAAAATTATGTGAAGTTCAATTAAAAAAATATTGTTGATTAGCTCCATGTTCAAGTGAAATAACCGTTCAATCGACATCATGCTCCAGTTAGCACCATATCGACCAATTATTCTTCAAGCAGGTCAAATGCTCTGCTTTTAGAACAGATATTGATATGTTTGCCATGTGCTGTGTTTCTCTCTGATTATCCACCATGCCAGCATGAAAATAGACAGGGTTTATCCCGGTATTACCATGCCATTATATGGTCGTAATTTTAAAAAAATAAAGCAGTTCTGCCCCTGCCCAGCTGCTATTAGACCCTGTTTAGCCTACAGGTTTGCTTTGAAAAACTCCCTCATTACAGCACCTCAAAGAAATATCATACAATAGCGAGTTGAAAAGGGCAATGCTTGAATGGAGTCTTAAAGGAGAGGCTGTACTTGGCCTTCAAGTATACATTCCTTCAGCTCAGTGCTTCCTCTGTGGTCTCACCCCCCCCCCCCCCCACTCAAGACTCAGTTCCCACAGGGGACTGGGCCAAAGCAAACTCCTCAGAGGAAGTCTCCCTCTCTTAGCAGTGAGAGAGAGGGGGAGAGAGGGATGTCCTATCATCTGGCTCAGTGGGACCTGCTAAGCAGTAGGATGTGCAGAAGGGTGTTATGACTCCTTGTCCATGCTATGTCTATGATGTGGTGGCAAGTTAAGCCCGTGCGGCTGCTCTCCTGTGAGGTCAGTGTCAGATTTAGCCAGCAGGTCCCTTGTGGTGTCTGGGAGTGTCTGTTTTCTGACTCTATTATGTCTAGCACTCATTGCCTTCCTGGAGATGCAAACCTCAGGGTAGAAATAGTACCAGACAGGCAGACATCCTTTGTCAGGAAAACAACAGTCATGTCAGTAATTACAAGGTCTGATTACAGCACTGCAGCGGCTTCTAGAAAACCACTGGCCCTGAGTCAGGCAGGTGAGAGGTCGAGTCATCATTGCTAAGCAGGAAAGAGTCAGCAGGGGTCTGGGTTAAAAGACTTAACCTACAGTGTGTGTGTGTGTGTGTGTGTGTGTGTGTGTGTGTGTGTGTGTGTGTGTGTACTGTAGCTACTGGTTAGACAGGTAAAGACATTTGTGAATCATTGAGACGTGAGGGGAGTGTCCAGACAGACATGTTATGTATCTCTCATGATGCAAACAGTTTGAAGAAAAGGCTGAGTTAAATTTAAAAAATGTTACATCATTTAGTTATGGATCAACATCCTACACACTTCACATATTATTTTAGCTATAATGTATTCATGATAAATGTATAATGAAGTTGAAAGCACCTATTAGACATTTAGTTGATACCTTGTGAACAGTCGATAAAAACATACTTAATTCAAGAAAAAGCAAGAGTCACCAAATTGATCCGTTTTTAAACAGATGATGTATTCACATTTTATAAGTCATTTTACTTTGTGAATTACCTTAACAATAACTCCTTGATTATACAAAAAAAATATGTAGTAGACTTTCCTGTTAGCTTATTTGTCAACTGATTTTCTTTTAACGCTACAGCAAGTTTCAGTTTCTGTGTTTTAGGTAGACCTGACTTACATCTGACACACACACTCCTACACACACACATACATGTCTACTGTCAACCACCCACCAACTCCCTCCCATAGCTGCTTGTAAGATCAAACACACACACACACACACACACACACACACACACACACACACACACACACAGTGTCTGTTTTGTGTAGAGAAGCTGTGAGACATGTTCCTTTACCAGCCAGCCTTTTTGCTTAATGCTGAATCAGGTTTGTCATTCATTTCCATCCTGATGTGATTACACTAAACTGCGAATAAGGTTTCACAACTACATGCAGGCCCTCAGGAGTGTTCTCCATTGAAGATTTTGTAAGTAGATAGATAGAGTAATCATCATTTGTCCTGAATCGCAAACACAGACGAGCAGGAGATGGGAGTGTTTGCCATTCCTGGAGGCAGAATATCATAGTAGTGAGTAAGAGAGTAGCAGGCAGGTCTGTGCCGGCCTCGACGCCTGTCCAGGTAAACATATCCCCTGTCTGACAAGTGCAGACCTGAGGGCTGAGGAGGTTAGCAACTCAACACATGCTCTTACTGTTTGCCACACACGCAGACATACAATATATACAATGTAGGTGCACTGCAGATTCAGTATTTTATGGCACATAACAAGGCAGATGCTTCCCTCAGGTTTTCTCAGTGCGGTCTTACTCTTATATTTCATGACTCTGTAGCCCTGCGTTAACATGCAAACCCTCCCTGAACACTTCAACTCGATTGTCTGTCAGAGCTGAGTGCAATTACTTTAATTTGTCTCCCTCTGTCTCTATATTGCAATATTTCTGTGGTTCAGGCAGTCGATCTGCTCCACCTGATGGCGCCTCTTCTGCCTGGCAGGGAGCAATGTAGCCCTGCTGGCTGCCAGCCAGACCAGCTTGAGTGTCTGCTCAGCTCAAAGCCCTGCTCACGCACACACTACACACACACACACACACACACACACCCAACACATAGACAAACATGTAGACATGCCAAGCTCAAAATCTGAATGCTTACACAGATGCATCTACTGTCCTCCATGTCTTTCTGTTAATTCTTTTCTGTTAATCTAATTTCCCTACTTTGTTTTCTTTATCACTGAGCTGGAATTGTAAAAAAAAAAAAAAAGTCGCATCATGTTCAGACATACACTTCTTATAAATATTGGCATTTACAGGCACACAGGAGCATTTTTAGAAGTTGTGGGCTCTTGAAATATCCATTGTACTCTATGGTGTAATATCTGCATTTTATCTTTGCAAGGATTGTGATGATTAACTGTGTGTTGTCTCTTCTGTCCTCAGTCGCCCAGCCCAGCTCCAGCCAAGAGGTCCAAATTTGACAAACTACTATCTCCATCAGCTGACAAAGACAGGAAACCTGACTGGTTACAATCGCTGTCAAAGTCTGCACACAAGGTTTGCTTTCTGAGATTCCATGTAATTAGTGTGAAAACTGATTTGTGGTTAAGCTCAAGGGTCAAAAGGGTGACATCAAAGCCTTTGTCCTTTTGAATCATCACATTATCATCTATGCAAGACCTCTCGTCATTTCGTCTCATCACATGAGGAGAGGCCTTTGAGTGCTCTTCATGGATTATTTCATTTTTCTGGAGATATCTTACTGTGAATTTATGCAGTTTCTTTTTTCATTTTTCCAGGATCTGAAGCAGGTCCAACTGAAACAGCGGCCCTCTGCTTTCCGTCCCTGGTCCCCTAAATCCGTAGAAAAAGACAAACCAGTCTCTCAAAATGAAATGGAGAGGTGAGTCATCTACGGACAGTGGCACTTTTTATTTTGAAAAATAATATTTTTTAAATCAACCAATTAAATGCCTTAAATGTACCCATATTACATTCTCAGGTCCCATTCAAAGACTCACGAGACTTTGGCAGCTCCCAATCTGACACAAGCTCCCCTGGCCCCTCCAGTCCATCCCAGGGACAGCGATGCTCCTGGCAGGGGGCCTTTAGCCGTTTCCAGGCCGCCACAGGAGCTGTCTAATGGTGATGCACAACCTGCCGTGAAACCAGCACCCTCAAGCACCGCCAACATACCCGAAGACATGGACACAGATGGAGAGATTGATGTGGATGACTGTGACGATCGTGAGTGCTACCATTCATTTTGTAACAATCCAGAGAAGAAGAAAAATGTAACTCAACAAAAGTCAGTTAAGACACAGATTTACATTCGCAATTTATATTACAAAGTAAGGCTCTTGTGGAAAAAAGCCACAGCAGAGCTGGCTCAGAGAGATTCCTGTGCAACTCTGCCACCTGGTGTTGAATGGAAGAAATACAGGAGAAATAATGTATCCACAGTTAATAGTCTGTAGAAAGAAAGTTTTTCTTTCTTTCACTGATGGAAAATGTTAAGAAAGTATATTATTACAGTGATTCCAACTTGAAGGAGGTACCCCTGCAGTTACCAGAGGGTGGGTTAGGATTGTGATGTAACTCATTTCTGTATTGATAATGTTATAATTGTCTCCCTCAGGTCCAGTGACAGCTCCCACTATTACTTCTCCTCCGTCGGCCTCCACCAGTGTGTCGCAGACTCTGACCCCTCAGAGCGCCACCCGACCTCAGGAGGGACCTGCCTGGCTGTCGGGGAGCCAGTGCTCTGAGATGGATACCGTGAGGCAGATGATAAATGGCGGCATGGATACCAAAGAGGCCAGGGAAAAAGTTCTGCAGGAGATCATCAGAATAAGAGTGAAGCAGGAAGAAAAACTGGCATCTGCTGTGCAAGCTAAACGCAGCCTTCAGCAGGTAGCACATGGCGTCTTTGTGTACTACTGTGGGAAAATAATTAATTAATATTTCAGACGTTTTTTACATTATATTTATTGTCATTTTTATTTATTATACATTTCTGAAGTTTAGAACTTGTATTGATTGTAATGTTTCTACAGGAATTGGAGTTTGTGAGGGTTGCAAAGAAAGGCCGTCTCCGTGAGGCCATAGAAGCCAAGCGCAACCTACGAAAGGAGATAGAACGCCTTCGTGTGGATTGGGAGAGGAAGATGAGGGATGCAGAGGAGTCTTGTGGGCGACTGAAGAGAGAGTTGGAGAGAGAGAGAGAGCAACGAGTTTGTGACAAAGGCTGCGAGGCTGAACGTCTCCGTGTTAAATACTCCTCTCAGGTAAGATGTCTACCCATATTCACCAAAGCTAATATTATATAGTTGTTAGGTGTTGTTTAAAGAGGACATATTATCCCACTTTTCCCCTTTTCAAACAGTCCCCTGTGGTCTAAATGAAACATCTGTGCTGTGCTTTGGTCAAAATATAACATGAATCAAGCACCAGAGGAGATTTGTGACCCTTGATAAACCAGCTCTCTCAGAACGCTCCGTTTTGGTGTGTGTGTCTCTTTAAATACAATGATCCCCCCTGAGTTTTCCCTGTAGACATCACTCCTCTGTACCGAGAATAAAAATGGCAGACCTGCCCAAAAGTGTTGTTCTAAGCGGAGAGAGGAGAGTATTTTCTTTTACCAGAATCCAGTTTGTGACATCACAAGTTGAGCAAATTTGAAACGGAGCACATTTCTCTGTGTTGTAAGACTTATGCAGACTACAAACAAAGGACTGGATGGGTTTATTTCACATTTTGTGGGTCGGTAGACACTCAGGTTACCCAAATATATGTTCTAAAACACTGTAGAAGTGGATTTTTCATAATTTGTCCCCTTTAATCTTTTACCACATTGGTGTACTTTATCAGTACTAACTGCTGTCTGCATTATGTTTTGCAGATTGAAGAGTTGCATGTGCAGCTACAGCAGCAGAGGCTGACCGTGAGCAGCTGAGACAGGAGCTTCAGCAGGAGAGAGAAGCCCGGCAGAGCCTGGAGACCGTTGTCAAAGACCTGCAAACCCAGCTGTTCCAGCAGACTGACAGCAACCACCCCGGAGACTCCAAGGACGCAAATACAGAAGCACACAGACGGACCACACAGCACACCAATGGATCCTAGAGTTGCACATTCACAACCGGAGAAAGAGACTCAATAACATGAACACTTGTTGCACCTCCTGTTGGGGAAAAAAAGAAACTCAGCAAAATGCTTTGTCCATTTTCTAGAGGAAAAATCTGTCAAATATAATACGATGTAGTATAAATCAATATTATAATGACAATATATGAATTATATGAAATGAACTGGAAAGTAGCATGATATATGAGCATGTTTTTAGAGCGTGATATTAAGAAAGGCTTCTTCAGTGATGAACTCATCTTTCCAGTGACGTCAGAGCCCTCTATTAGACACCTGATGCTGTCCAAGGATTTTATTTTGGTATAAGCTATTCAAAGATGTGCAAATATAGCCACACAACACTACTTGAAAATGAAGGGAAGAAACATGTTGCGCCTGGTGAAACATGAGCAGATAATGAATCTCTTGGTGCCACAAAATATTGGTACACTCAAAGGTGTCCTTGCAGACTACTGGAAACAAGAGACACCAGTTTACCACTATTTACTTTTAATATCAGCTTGCTTTTTATAACTGTGTAGAGGATGTACTTTTTAAGAAATATTGCTTGCGCAGCACTGTTATTCCACAGACAAGAAAAACACATCCATAAACAAACATGTACGCATGTATACCAGCTTGTCTACCTTTTGTATTTTATAAACCTTAAGTATTGGAGGTTACGTGGGCTACCTTCAGGTCCACCACTGTTTTATGCTAGATATTTTATGAAAGTGTTACTTTTTAATAATATGATGCAACTTTACTAGTTGTTTAACCATTGTTTTCCAGTAATGTTTTTTGCAACAGAACCATGTGATAAATAGTAATTCTTCTTACCCATGTTAGTGCGAACAAGTCTAAACATGCCCTCCTTAAAGAAAAAAAAAAGTCAATAGCTTTCTGTTTTTCGTTCAAATGCGGTACTTCTTATACATTTTTATTGTAACATAATTTATATTCTAAGATAATTTGCTGCCTATCAAAAGAAAGCATTAATTTTTTTTGTCACTGGTTTTAGGGCTCTTAAATCAACAAATGCTGTTTATATGAACAACATTTCTACATATATACAGAATATTGATATATATTTTTTTACTTTAAGAAAAGGAATTGCACTTTTTAAAGAAAAGAACCTTGCATTGTGCATTGTACTCCCCGTCACAGTTTTCAAAAACATGAGTTAACATGAACTTTGAATTCAAACAGAACACCCCTCAGTATCATCTGATGTAAATACAATGATATTGTAAATAAGATGTTTGTTGGTATGTTTGCTTGCTCCAGACTTAAATTGATTATGAATATTATTTTTGCTCTTACTTGAAACCAAAAAGAAACTATATTTGCAATCTACAATTGACATTGTAGTTGTGTCCCTGAGTATTGTTGCAATCACGGGGCATTGAGCAGAATGGATGGGTGCTGGTTTAAACAAGGAAAATAAAACCACCATGGGTTGTGAATTTGACCTGTTTTTAGTTTTTCTAGGCTCAAAACCCCAACAGAATTTATTATAATTTGTCCCTTGATTTTGTTTATTTACAAAGATCTTAATTATTTGATTTAATATAGAGTATATATTCCACCACAGACAAAAAACTGAAAAATGGATTTGAAATCTCTGCACCTCCAGCTCCCTCGTCAGATAGAGTAGAAGTGACACCTACTCATGGTTTCAACCTTATAGGTGCTCAAGTATATTTTAACCAAGAAACACTTTTATGTCTTATCATTATGATACCCTCGCTCAGTATTCGTTGGGTACAGTGTAATAGCAATATCCATTTTGTTAGCTGATGCTGTTGTAGTTTTGGTTTGGAAGTGGGGGTTCACTTGCCTCTTGTTTCAATGTTTTCTTTTCCTTTGGAAAACGTGTATAATACCCATTAAAATCTAAATCAATCCTATTGATTCTAAGAAGTGTTGGGTTTTTTTTCACCACAATGATACATTTATTTTTTTTACTCTTCCTTCATCTTACCTTTGATTCAGATTTGTATAAACTAGCCTGCTTGATGGATTGCAGAGATGTGATGATATTTAAGATTTCTAAGTGAGCATCCAAACCTATAGCTGTGGCTTTTTATGTTACAATCGTTTCAAATAATGACATTTTCCACGGTATGGTTGATGATTTGGTATTTTGTGTTTGTTGCTTGTTATCAAAGTTTTGCATGCCAACATGCTAAGATGAGGAACAGAAAACAAACATTGTAGCGTCTAGACAGCTAATGTTAGCATGTAGCTCAAAGAAACAATGTAGGCTAAGAGCCTCACAGTCACAAGCATGACTTGGTATGAATCTCTTTATTTATTGGCATTCTGCATTACATTCATTTGCTGTCTAAAAATTTCGTTAACTAAAATAAGCATCACTTTGGAGCAAACATGAAAGCCTGCTGAAGAATGTCAAAGGGGATGGAAAGTTAGAGTAGGCCTACTGTTACACTAAATATAGAGGACTCAGCAGTTGTTAAGTATCAGGTGAGCCAGTTGATTGCTCAGTAGGAACACCTGATCATGACGACACAGGCCTTAATTGCTTAGTCAAACGTCCTTTAGGAAAGTTACGTTGTTTATTTGTTGTTTATTTGACAGGACAGTGTGACAGCACGTCAGCCTTCAGAGCATCAGATCTCCAAAGATGAAGCAGAAATGATTTCAACCCTCGTTAGTTTTTCGTTTACATAAGTTCTTGTAATTTTCTAATATGTCGCAATTTCATCTTTAAAAAGGCCTGACTTACAAATAATGTAGATTGAGGGCATCCTACAAACGAATGCAGCTGAATAATCTGATATACAGTATATTAGCTAATATCAATTAACCTGCTGTTTTTTCCTTCATAAATGCTGTTTAAATCTTTGCTAGTTCAGGCTGTAATTAGATGCTGATGCTGATAGCCTAATTATGTCACATCAGCATAGTGAATTCAAATAAAAAAATAGAAAGTATTCTATGTGCAGAGGAAACGAGGTGAAATAATCAAATCACCTGTTCAGATTTACCCTTAGAGTGTGGAGCTATGTTAAGTACAATCAAAAACTTGAAATAAAATGTTTCATCATATTTTGAAGAACTCATTACATTCTGTAACTTGGTGTACAAAATCAAAACAAAACTATGCATTCATTTTAAGTCGCACAGTTGCCACTAGGGGGAAATCATTGCACACAGTAAGGTGAAATTGTGTTCATTGCCAAATGCACCAGTATGCATTTGAACCTTCAATCCTAAATATTTATATCAGAATGATGTTAATTAGCAAGCAGTCCATTATATCTATTTCAATCTGTGTGTGCTGTCATGAACAGGATTTTTTAAGTTTAGTAAAACTAATAGTGGCACACTTCCTATACCACTGTCTTGTTTCAGAGGCTTATTGGTTGCGTGAAAATCCCTCCATGAAAGCAAGGCTGAAGCCTCACTCCAGGATTACAGCTCGGGGAAGATTAGGTGACTGACACGTGTTGCACACTCTTTCTCTGTGAGTCGTGTCTCATACATAAAGTAAATAGAGAAGAACCTGCGGTTGCTAAAATGGATCACTGGACATGGAATGATGAGGAATGAAGCTTCAAGATGGGAATATTGTTCCCTGATCCTGTATGGGAAGACTTCAACTGGAAGAAGAGGATATGCTGTAGGAGAAGCTGTGTTATCAACAAACTTGGCTGAAGAGGCCTGCAGAGTTATGGGGAGGTGGGTTCCTCATGTGGTGTGAATGGGACAGGAGAGTTGGACTCAAATGCACAGTTTAGGGATGAACAGCACCCCAGCGATGGCACCGCTGTCTCCAGGGCCATGTGGCAGCCCTCCACTGTCCTCTCTGTCACCCAAGAGGACCCCCTTTCAGACTTTAGGGTCTCTGTCACCAGGAATGTTGTCCCCTTCGCTTGGTAACGGCTCCTCTCTTCAATGGAAACAGGCCTCGTCTCCAATAAGATCACCGAGCCCGTCCATTATGACCTCCCCAAAACTCTGGCAGAAAGCATCCATCTCCAGACTCGCTGAAGAGTTTTTCTGGATTGGTGGCAGTGTGGTCGCACAGCCAAAATGGAGACTGGGTCAGATAGGTAAGACTCACAAAGGACACAATAAATACTTTTAATTTAAACACTGAAATTATAGAATCATGTCAACATGTTATTTGGCAGGAGTACAAGCTGTCTTAAAAAAGATTTTAACATAACAGATATGAATGACTGATGTGATATTCAAAACCAGGATGTGCAAGTTTGAGACGTTTAGCTGCATTTTTTCCTTTGAAAAGGCTTCTTAAATGTGTGAAAGTCCAACAACACAGGGTGGAGTAAAGCAGGCCCATGAGTAGCTAACAGGCATATGGACAGCAGACAATCCTTTAGGATTAACCTGAATGATGTGCCAAGTTGCGTCACATGCATCTGAGCCACAGATTACAAACAAAGGTTAACTGAACCCAGCACACACAACTAACAAACTACTTCACCATGACCTAAATAGGATCAATATTGTTGGATCTGATAAGATATTTTAGATTAATCACCGTACACACACCATTGAAATTCACTGTTAGAAATTCGAGCAAACAAATCATTTTAAACATTGCTAGGTTTCTAAAGACTTATGGATTTGTTTTATAGGCAAAGATCATATCAGGGTTGTGTATCTTTTCCCTCTTACATCATTGACACATATTTTACATTTAACACACATACAGCTCCTTAAATCCCAGTGTGGCGCAGCCTTTAATCCCATAAACAAGTGCCTTAAGGTAAACCTCTACTTGACTTGTTTGTTTTGATTTTGTGTCTCCTTGCCTCACCTGTAGTAAGGTGTATGTCCAAGAAAAATGTCTAACAAAATAAAGCCCTTTTCTTCTATGGAAACACACGCATCAGGTGGCCTGGTAGTATCAACAAGGCCAAAAGTGAGACATCTCCACTCTAAAGTTCCAATAAAGATTTATTTTTACAGCACAGTAACTTCTTTAAAACCAATTACCATCATTAGTTCAAAAAATCTCTATCACTAATCTCCATTACATTTTCACACATTAACCTACTGGTGTATTTTGCTGTCAGTCAACCTATGATATTGGTACAACCTTTTTGTTAATTAGACTAAACGTCACCTATACCTATAACGTCCCCGAAGATTGGTCTTGTTGGTGAAGGGGTTTGAATTGAGTTAAACTTGGCAAATATTTCATCAAGTAAATGTATGTGGTTAGTGTTTTTTCTTTATTTGATTGCACTCTGTGTCTTTTTTTCTGCCACACAAGAATCTCAAGGAGTTATTTGATTTGTTTTATAATATGCTTTGACGAGCTACAGGTGAACCTAACTCCTTCATGTATAAAATCCATGGTAAATCTGCTGAGATCTTATTTTCATTTTTAAAAGCACAAAGAAAATGTATGCTACCCTATAGCTAACTTAGAAAGGCAGAAAAATATAAGCCATCTGAAAATACAGATGAAAAATTCACATCAGTCATAACAAGAGTCAATCCACTGGGCCACTGATCACGACAAACATCCTAAGAACTATCCCTTAATTAATCATCTCTTTCAGTAATTATCGATTCCATCCATGAAGTCTGTGAGGGGAAAAAATCTGAGATCTTCAGGCGGTACGCTGACAATCGCTTTGACCCAAACTGCTGCTTCAGTATTTACTATGGGGAGCGAGTTAAGTCCCTGGACCTGGTCACCACAAACGCAGAGGAGGCCCGGACCTGGATCACTGGGCTGAAATACCTCATGGCGGGCATCAGTGATGAAGACATTCTGGCCCGGAGGCAACGCACCCGTGATCAATATCCTTCATGCAGTTTTTAATGCCTAATTCTTTTTTGTTACTAATATAACACTTCTTGTTATGCACATTTAAAGGTGTGGCTGACACATAATAAAAGGGGTTGAAAAGATTCTGACAGAATTACATAGACTAGATAATGACCCTCCCTAGTTTTTTCCTAAACTGCAGCCTCACGTGGTTACAGCAGACCTTCTCTGAAGCTGACAAAAATGGAGATGGCACCTTGAGCATCGGAGAGGTTCATCAGCTGCTGCACAAACTGAATGTGAATCTACCCAAGCAGAAAGTCAGAGAGATGTTTCAAGTAAGTCTTGTATTCACAAAAGGTTCAATAAGACAAGCTGCCAGAGAATTAAATGTACTTACAGTACGATACGATACACTTTATTGTCCCCTCAGAGAAACTTGAGCAGCCATAAGTTACCAGTGTTACATATTTATTCATCTTTTATTAGTGATATCTCCAAAATGGAAGTGTTGCCTAACTAGTGGCTGCATGGCTACAAAATTGTCTATGTATTGGATTGTACAGATAGATAGACAGCCCATGTAACCAATCAGAAAGCTAGAACAGGCATCTACTGTAAGCTGTGACATGCTGTATGTGTGTGTTGTTCTACTTAAGCTCTAAAACAACTTGATCTGAGTAAAAATACGTTGTATCAGCCAGCAGTCTTATTTGACAAATATTATATTTGCATTCTGTTCAATTTCACAGCAATGCTATCAGCTCTGTAAAGCTGTAGGTATGAAAAGCAGTTGTATGTGTCTTTTGTGCATATCAGCATGATAGCATGCTAGCAATGAAAATGCTAACAAGTTGGTGTTTGGCGGGTATAAAAGTCACCATGGTCTCAGTCTTTGTTTAGTATGTTAACATTGTCCCTGTTGCTTTTTAATGAAGAAACAGGTAAGGCTGAGGGGAATGTCATTCATTTGAAGATTTGTTATGATGGTGGCAGTAAAGGAAAAGTCAAAGATCACCAAAGTAATCAACTTTCTTCTTGTGGGGAACATGAAATAGTTTACCAGATGTCATGGAAATCCATTCAGGAGCTGTTAAGAAATTTCACTGTTCAACACCTGTCACAAGTATTGAGTGGTGAATTCAGTAATATGAATCCTTTGCGTACCATTCATTTCTGTACAAAATCTAATGGTAATCCATTTAATACTTGTTGAGATACACTGTATCAGTCTAGACCAGGGTGATGGACTCAAAAATAAAGACCAGCAACAAGCCTTCCATTAAGCCATTGACCCGCATGTCAAAAACTAAATCTGTTTATGGCTTAAAACAATGCTTTTCAGCTTGAAGTAGTGTTTATTTGTTTATTTGTTAGGATCCACATTAGTTGTACCCTACAGCTCAGCTATTCTTCATTGGGTCCACATTAGTGTGAGTAGGCACCACTGTGCAAACTGGTAGCAGTAGGATTCCAGAGTGTAATGAAAAGAAAAAGTGGAAGATGGAAAATCTGCAACATTTCCTTAAGAGACCAATGCTTTTCTCACTTCCCTGTCAGTCATATGATGAAAGAGCCAGCCGAAAAATATACAGAATTTTGGCAGGACAGTGCCACAGCAAGGCCATATGGCTGCCGCTGAACAGATGGCTTTAGCCGCGCTACAATATTCCTATAGTTCAGTGGCTCTCCACCCTCCCCTCTTGTTATTATAGTCTGTACAAGTGCTATCATATCTGATGGGGGTAGAGATGTATCTTTCAGAAGGGAATTGTGGTAGATATTGTCTTTGGCAGATTGGTTATCTTAAACCACTAGATTAACTCGCTAATCCTGATGAAGAAATTAATGCATACATTTTCTTTATTGCGATTAATCGCATGCTATTTTCTCTCTTGATGCACACCGTGGATAAGCCTCCGCAGTGTCTCCCTGTAGTCATAGTGATGGAAAAGAACGACACTGGTGTATCTTTGAATGTCTCATTTCACTTGAAAAAAACTCTCAGTTGGCTCAGTTGATGAGTCAAAAGGGGCATCCAGCTTATGACATCCGCTTTAGCTGTTTTCATTTAGTTTTTGATCTGTAACGTGTTCCTTTTTCCTAATTAAGTTAATGTTGTAACCTTCGATCTACCAGAGGGTCCTTACTTTGTTTCAAAACAAAAGCAGACTTGGATTCAAACAGCAAGTAAAGTATTCTGAGCTTAAGGAAGTACAAAAATTCAAAACAAAAGCCATGGTTAATTTTAAATGTGAAATAACAGAATCTCAAACATGCGATCACAATATGTTTAATCACAATTAGCTATTGAAATTCAGCGCACACATTCTGGGAGGATTATATCTTGCTCATAAGATACATTTGTTGTTATTTGTAGGAAGCAGACACAGATGACAACCAAGGCTCTCTGGGCTTTGAAGAATTCTGTTCGTTCTACAAGATGATTTCAACACGCAGAGACCTCTACCTGATACTCATCTCTAACAGCAATCAGAAAGAAGTCATGGATCTGCAAGACCTTACACATTTCATGGAAAATGATCAGAAGGTTGGGAAAATGCAGTAGTTTCATTTGTTTGTTGCCACATTTGTCCTTTTTCAGATCCAGATTGTCATCAGAAGGGATGTTACAGGATATAGAATACATGTGACCAGTTTGACGGTTTGCAATTTTTCACTTATTCATTTAAAAACACACCAAAGAATGTGCTCCAGTTTTCAGGTTATTCAGCTACTCAGCCTCATTGTTAAAGTTTATGTCAGCATCCTGGAGAGAAGGCTCCAGCTGTTTGTCAAACATCCGATATCAGAGGCTCAATGTGAAGTTCATCTTGGCCAAGAAGTGGACAAGCTCTAATGTCTTGCATGGTTGCTGTAGGTTTATTTGTTTTTTTGGATCCCCATTAGCCACTACCTTAGTTGCAACTACTCTTCCTGGGGTCCACTAAAGTCCACAAGATGGTCATAGAAATTTGTTCACACAGCCTGCTTCTGTTTCTAGACTTGGAGAAGGCCTATGACTGTATTCACTTTGTCCTTTGCTGTATACTGAGTATAGGGTACCGTGAGTGTTTATTTGGCTCTCTGGTCAATAATATAAGAGTAAGCTGTGTTTTAGGGGCAGGGCTAAATTTGAATACCCAGTGGCGGTTAGACCTCAATAAGGGTTGTCCCTTGTCACTGACTTGCCATGCCAGGGTTATCCAGTTTGGGGACCTCAAAATGTAATCTCTGATTTTAGCATATAGTTCTGTTGGCTTCATCATACACTGAACTCCAACAAGCAGTGGTTTGCAACTGAATGTGGGGTCATTAGCACAAGAGTCATTACCTCAAAGTATGAGTTCATCGTTCTCTGCTCAATCAGGGGAATCCCTTAAACAAAGAAGTTGAAGTATCTTGCAGACGTGTTATGAGTTAGGGTTAAATGGATCGTGAGATCGACAATCAGGTTAGTTAGTATTGTCAGTTATATGGGTGTTGTACCAAGAAAACATGCTGTAGAGGGATCTGACAACCAGAACTTAGAGTAAAGAGTCTCCTCCTTTATGTTGAAAGGAGCCAGCTGTGGTAGCATCTGATTAGGAGACTTTTGCAGGGCTCTTTTAAAACTTGGAGGAGACCCCAGGGTAGAACCAGAGCTTGCTCGAGGGATTATATATCCTACCTAGCCTGGCAGTATTTGGGGATGCCCCAGGAACAGCTCAGAAACAATGTTTGGGAGAGAGCTGTCTGGGATAATTTACTTTGTACTGTATTAGTCCCAAAAAATTGATGGATGGATGGATGGATGCTCTCAAATGTAATGTGATAAAAAATGATATACAATTTCCAAGCTTAGCTCTAATGCAATTAAACAGATAAACAACATATAACATCCCTATCATTGCTTTATTTGCAGATGCGAGGTGTGACCAAAGACCATCTAGTTGATGTAGTGGCCAGGTTTGAGCCATGTCCTGAAAACCTGCAGCGTATGGTACTTGGTATTGATGGTAGGGAGGACTTGCTTGCAATAACATGACAATGCATATTACAATTAAGAAGCATGAATAACATGATATACTGTAGGTCAACGGCATCACATCAACATACAAGGACCTCATGGTTTAAAACTTTTGTCCATCAGGTTTTACCAACTTCATGAGGAGTCCTGCAGGTGACATCTTTAACCCTGAGCACAATCAGGTGAACCAGGACATGACTCAGCCTCTGACTAACTACTTCATTTCCACCTCACACAACACATACCTGACAGGAGACCAGCTGCTGTCCCAGTCTAGAGTGGAAATGTACGCATATGTTCTCCAGGCAGGCTGTCGCTGTGTGGAGGGTAAGGGCTCTGAAAAAACCTGAACTTCAGTTCATATCACTTTGACTTTATGACGTTCCTCATCTTTTGCTCTTTTGTGTCTACTCATTATCTTTCTCAGTCGACTGCTGGGACGGGCCTGATGGGGAGCCCATTATTCACCATGGCTACACGTTGACATCCAAAATACTCTTCAAAGATGTTGTTGAAACAATCAACAAATATGCTTTCACAAAGTCACAGTATGTGCTTTTGGTTCTTACTTCAACTTGTTTTTTTGTCAAGATTTCACAGTAAAACATCATACCCACTGCTTTGGCAGGAAGGTATCATTTAAGACTTTGTTTCCTCTTAGGTACCCAGTGATCTTGTCCATCGAGAACCACTGTACAGTCCCTCAGCAGAAGAAAATGGCTGAGTATCTGAAAGAGGTACTGCAAGATAAACTGGATCTCTCTTCTGTCAATGTGAATGAATGCAAAAAGCTGCCCTCACCTGAGATCCTGAAAGGGAAAGTTTTAGTCAAGGTAAAGTTGTTTTATAGAAACTTGTGCTGCAAATACAGCGCTGAAAAGTCAAAGTAGTGATAAGAAGAGGCGCACAAAACTCACCATAATCCATAATAATAGACTTGTATTATTAAATCTTGTCATCGAAAAAAGCTGAAGAAAATGGCTGAGTATCTGAAAGAGGTACTGCAAGATAAACTGGATCTCTCTTCTGTCAATGTGAATGAATGCAAAAAGCTGCCCTCACCTGAGATCCTGAAAGGGAAAGTTTTAGTCAAGGTAAAGTTGTTTTATAGAAACTTGTGCTGCAAATACAGCGCTGAAAAGTCAAAGTAGTGATAAGAAGAGGCGCACAAAACTCACCATAATCCATAATAATAGACTTGTATTATTAAATCAATGTCATAGGGAAAAAAGCTGCCAGCAAACCTTGATCCCGATGCAGAGGAGGGGGATGTATCTGATGAAGATACTGGTGATGAGGAAGAAGACGAAGAAGATGAAGATGATGATAATGCCCAGGCAAATGAAACGATAGATAGATAGATAGATAGATAGATAGGTAGATAGGTAGATAGATAGATAGATAGATAGATAGATAGATAGATAGATAGATAGATAGAGAGATAGAGAGATAGATAGATATCAACACATATGTTTGACTGTTTTAGGATGGAAATAGCATTGTCGCTGGCAATTCTACCAAAAAGAATAGGCGATTTGGCAGATCGATCATGAGGAGCTTCAAACGAAAGGTCAGCCCTTTCATCTTCAAATACTACACTTTACTGGCCCAGAAAGGTCGTGGAGACAAAAAAAAGTGAAAGCGTGAAAGTTACTGCTTTTTTTTTTTTTCAGAGGAAAAAGAGAAGTAGGACGAAAAACATAGCAACAACTGATGTCGAGTCAGACTGTAACAGCAGCAAGGAGAGGGCACAAATTGTTTACCATCCCAAGTAAGTCATTGACTTAAGTAGCTTAATCGATTTAATGCCATTAGTATCAGCCCTTTACGTGTACTAAATGAGTGTAACTCTCACTGCAGGAAGAGGAAAACAATGAGGTTGTCCAGAGCCCTGTCTGACCTGGTCAAATACACAAAATCGGTCAGAGTACATGACATAGAAACACAAGGTAAAGGGTATTTCAAACAAACAATAAATCTACAATGTATATATATTTTTATTGCACGAGTTACGTTGCCAATGGAGAGGACTTTAATGCTGTATTCTTCTGTCATGCAGGGTTTACAAACAGCTGGCAGGTATCATCCTTAAATGAGACAGTTATGAACCAGATCTTACAGCTGAAGCCGACTGAGTTGGTCCGTTTAAACCAACGGCAACTTCTAAGAGTGTACCCATCAAACTACAGGGTGGACTCAAGCAACTTTAACCCACAGCCATACTGGAATGCAGGATGTCATATGGGTAAGACCCTCAGAAAGTCTGCAAAGCTGACTACTTTCGACATTTTTTAAAAATCTATAGGTCTTTCAAGTGAATAGGTTGATTTTTCCTTTTAGTTGCATTGAATTACCAAACAGAGGGCCGTATGCTTGAACTGAATCGAGCCAAGTTCTCAACCAATGGAAACTGTGGGTACATTCTAAAGCCAAAGTGCATGCGCAAAGGTATGTAAATAATCTATGAGTAGAGGTTATGGTCACTTTGTTAGGTGCTATTCATCCTCCATTGTTTTTCTCAGCTGCCTTTAACCCAACAATGGAGGAACCTCTAGCAGGACATAAAAAGACTCAGTTAGTGCTGAAGATCATCAGTGGACAGCAACTTCCGAAACCCAAAGACTCCATGTTTGGAGACAGAGGAGAGGTGACGTCAACATACTCCAGATATACACTATGACATTGAGGAACCTGACTCATTTAAAACAAAAACACAGCCTTCCTGTTTAATTTTTCATGGCTTATGTGCTTTTCTGCGGCTCCTTTTTTCTACTCCCAGATCATCGATCCCTTTGTCGAGGTGGAGATAATCGGTCTACCAGTAGATTGTTCCAAGCAGCAGACCAGAGTGGTGGATGATAATGGTAGTGCACATACCATACCTAGCATAAAACATGCATAAGTCAGTTTGTGTAACATCCTTTGTCATTTAGGTTTCAACCCAATGTGGGAGGAGACCCTCGTCTTCGACATTCAAATGCCACAGCTTGCCCTGGTGCGTTTCCAGGTGTGGGATCATGATCCTATTGGACGAGATTTTATAGGGCAGAGGACTGTCGCTTTCACCAGTATGCTGCCAGGTACATCCCATGATGACATATAAAAGTGCAGAGACTTTTTAAAAAAAATATGAGGAAAAAATGTTGGGATTAATGACAAGTTTGGCATTTTAGAAGACACACTTTTTTGCTGTCTAGTTTTCTTTCATTTTTAGTGTTATATGTGACGTGATGACTACACCCTTAGAAGTTGCTGCAATGAGCAGAAAAAAGTTACACAAATCAGTCTTTAAGAAACTATTTAAAATTTAGCATCATATTTTACATCTTATTTTCTGTACAGCCAAGACATAAGATGCAAAGTCACAATACTACGAGAAAATAAATTGTTTTTTTGAAGGAATGAAAAAGACCCACTTATTTGCCTCTGATGTCATTTTCAGTGATAACTGTAACTTTAAAAGATTAACAGTTAACATAGCTGTTGTACTTAACAGTCATTTTCTACTGGGCTGATTTGTTGCTCCGCTAACATCTATAATATAAGATATACTAAATTAACCCAGTTGACTGATTTACATAACTTTAACAAAATGTATAGCCCTCAAGAAAAAAAAACATCAAAAAAGTTAACAAACTGTAGAGTGTATGTGCTAGCTTTGCTAACATTTATTAAATAGTTTTGCTTTTCAGCACCAATGCTGAACACTAGTGAACATTAGCCAAGCTACCACCACTCTTATCAAACCCTTAACCCTTAGCCACCTAAGCATGCTTACATTTCTTAATGTGGACGAGAAGCCAAAACCTTACTTATCTCTTCAGTTTTTGCAGAACCCCAATACAAAACAAATTTACCCTATATTGAACTGTTTATACTTTGATTAAATTGTTTATAGCTTACTATTGTTCATACCGCTTCTACACAGTCTATTTTCTTTTACCTAAAAGTCTTAATGTGGTTAATGTGATTTTAATGCACAAAATTTAGGTTTCCGGCACGTTTATCTGGAGGGAATGGCTGAGTCATCCATCTTTGTTCACGTGGCTATCAATGACAACTCAGGAAAGGTAAGTGTTAAAGAATAACAAATAAACAAATTTAATTTCAGCCTGCCTTCCAACTCTATCTTAAAACTTTTTGTGTCTTTTAAAAAAAAAGATTAAACCATCAAATGCGGTGCATGCGGCCAGAAAACACATCCAAAAAGCAGCCAAGAAGCACATAAAGGGTCAACAAAGGCAAACCTCTCTGGATTCCTCTGTCCTATCCTCAGAGGACGGACGTTCTCTGTACTTTCGCAAGGATCTGGACACCATCTCTCAGGAAAGCTGGAATGGGGATATGTCTCCTCTGGTACTCGGGCCAGCAGCCAAGGCTGCCATCCACAAAGGGGCCCTCAGTGAGCCACTGAGGCGAGCTCACAGAGTTAAAATTCATGAACCACCAGAGACAAGGAGAGGGATCTTCAGCCGGATGTCCTCCACTGACTCCCACCACATGGGGTCTTCTTCCTGTTTCAGAGCAGATAGCTTTGACTTTGAGACTCTTCAGACTTCTTATCCTGATGGTCTTGCTCTCGACAGCCATAATCGAATTGAAGAAGAACTAGAGAATGAACCAGAGTCAAACTGTGCTGAGCAGGAGACCAGTGACACCCTTGAACCAGAGCAGCCTGAACAATTTGAGGAATTACCAACAGAGCAACAGCCAGTCAAGGACATTTCTCTGGAACCTGAGCAACCACCAGAGATTCAGAGTTGGACTGCTTCCCTTCCTCTGCCAAGGACTGAGCCACAGCCTCTGAGCCAGTATGAGGCCAAATTTTTTCAACTTATCCCACCATCTTCCCCTCCCAGGGTGAGACGGACCTTAGAGGCTCCAGTCACCCCTCTGCCATCCACACTGATACAAACAAAGGCCAGATCACGCAGTTGCCCCCGGAGACAGATTTCCTCTCCTCAGACTCCTATGGTGAACCGCAGACCTGCTCTTCACTGGCAGACACAGCGAGCACAAAGTGAGGGCAGTTACAGCAGCAGGGTGAGGCCCATTCCCAACGGCCTCTGCTTGTCTGACAGCTCTTCTAGCAGCAGTGAAGGCAGTTTAGACAGCCTGGAATTTGTGTCCTCCGGTGTGCCAGACAGTACAGACCAAAATGAAGGCACTCTGCAGAGGGAGATGAGGGCCCTTTTTGACCGGAGGATGAGCGAGATTCGGTGTAAATCTCCACTTTTTCTAAATGGTGAGTTATAGATGTTTGATTCACATTCATATAGAGATGTTTCAACAGCATTTTTTCCGAGTCTGAGACAGATTAAATACTGAAACCAATTCTGGAACCTGAATTTGTGTACCTGCCAATCCCAAACATGTTCAAATGTAAAAGTCCTGCCTTGAACTGAATGTAAAAGTGGCAGGTCAACTCTGAATGAACACAATAATAAGTAATAAGTAAGTAAGTAAAGAGTAGTCTACTTCAGTGTTTGCTATTGTTATGCAATATAGAGAAAAATAATCTCTCATTGGCAGCTTTTAAAAAAAGAAACGTGTCACATTACATACATGGTGGCACTACAGCACAGCCTTCTGTGGAGACTACTGCCATGAAGAGGATAAGAAGAAATTATGATTTCCAGTGTAACAAATCGATTTATAAGTTGATAAGTGGCTAATAAATGATGGTGTTGAATGCACAAACTGGTCTACTCACCAATTCTGGTTACCCCGCATTTTTGCTGTATCAGAGGTTTTTCCAATACTGCTATTCATATAAGACGATCTCTAAATGTGCAAAAGTGAAAGTAAAAGGACTACAGTTACAAAACTAAATTTGCTCTAAATTTAAATGTGTTTTTTTTGTCTTTTAGATTAGACTGTTATTTATCTGTGAATCCAAAGACAACAACACAACAACTCTCTGAGTATGTTTGGGAGGATGAAGACAAGAAGAAAGCAGTTCTGATTTTCCTTCTAATAAACTACACACCAAGCAGAAGTACACATTTAATTACTTTTTATTATTATAGGCCTGCTGTAATGTATGAATAATCCTTGAATGTTTACAATGAATGAAGTTTGTATACATGATATCATTTTAAAAAAAACTGTTGGAATCATGTGACGTCATTGCCAACTGTCTAAAACAGCAAGATGCAGTCAGAATAAAGTACGCTAAACATACCTGAGCACTATTTGTTAGGCAGAATTACAGTGTTAAAATGTAATTATTGATGATTTTAATATTTTTTTCACAACATTTCAACTATAATGTTTGCTTTTTCATTGAAATTGTAGCATTCATACTTGAAAATCAATAAATTGATTATTTTAATAAAATGTGAGTCTTTTTTAATAATAAAGGTATTACTTTTCTATCTGCTGTATCATTGTTTTTAAGGTAGGTCTAAACCTACAATTAAGGTCATTATTTTGTTAAGTAAAAGTACCAACAGCTATCCAACCAAAAACTTAAAGAAACCCAGATGTGAGACTGGTGAAAGAAATGTATCTAAGCTTTTTCTTTGTCTTTGGCTTCATTTTCCTGTGGTCTGTTTGCATCACTGGTCCTCAAACGCAGACTCAGTTCTTCTGTCAACACAATGCAGCAGGATTTCTGTTGGAAAGAAAAAAAAAAAGAGTCAAGCAAATAAATCAACTGTGGAGAAAATATTTTTGATATGGTTTGTGAGGATGAGTGAGCATTACTGTCTAGGATTGTGCTTTCTTCAGAAACAGTTTAACATCCAATGAATAAACACAAATGATCAATGGGGAGCAAAAAAACAAGACCGATGGGTTTAGTTTCTAAACACTTAACACCCTTGAGACTGTGCTTGATAGACTGACGTGGTTTGTCTCATCAGTTACACACACCTTCTGCTCAGCTGCACTTTTTCGGCTCTTGGATGTTAGCTCCAGGACAGCCAGCAGTGCTCCCAGCCCCAGGCCCAGAGCGAGAACCAGAAACATCCCTTTAAGGCTGTGTGGCTGCACAGCTGAAGACTTGGCCTTGTCTGCGAGGCAGCTGCTCGCCCACCACTTGCTCCTCAGGTAGGCCAGCTCCCCTGCCTCGCTCAGCTGTAGGATTGCCACACTGAGGTTCTTTATGATGGGTGAGCCTTGAGGAAATTGATGATTTTCATATTAATAATTCCATTTTATTTCATATGTTAAAGTATAATTATTTAATGATGTGAAGAACCTCACCAAGAGGGGCTGCAATGCTGTATCCTCTCATGCCGACGACTTCATTTGCTCTGACCAGCTCACAGTAACGAGCCACTGCTAAATCTAAAGAAACAGACTCTCCAATAAAGGCATAGTTGCCCTCTTTAGCACGCTGGACTCCCTCATCCATAGAGGACACAAAACTCTTGGTTCTCTCCATGTGTTCATAGATTCTGCGGTACACTGGGTTGTTTGAATTCTGCATGAAGGAAAATGTAAAATTAGAGACTCTGCAGTAAAAATAGGGAATCCATATTCCACATACTCCACTCTCCGTACCTTGAAGAACGCGAGAGTGGAGGAGCCTGCCAAACATCCGTACTCTATCATGTCCTGATTGGCCAAGTCCTCAAACCCTTTCACTGTCAGGTGAGTGGACTCAGATGTTTTAGAGGAGCTGAGATTGGAGAAATAACAAGCCAGGAGGATGATGGTGAATAACCACCAGCTGCAGCAGATGACTCGTCCTGACAGAGCTTTGGGGTGAGGGCCAGCACCTGATAACACCAAGAGAGTACAGTGAGAAGAAAAGAAGGGCACAAGTCAAGCCAAGTTTATCACGCTAAGAGTTTTCTCTGTTTCATGGTTGAGTCTGGTTCAGCTGTTTTTACCTTGGAGAGTCAGAGCTCCAGTTGTGTACCACAGGCTGTGGAGAAGGCTGAATCTGTTTGGTTCAGTCTGAGGCTGACTCCACTCACATGGACTGAGTCTGCATTTACATACAAACATGATTTAATAATGTACAATAACTGCACTCAAAGGGATTGCAGTGCTAGCAGACAGTTTGAATATCAAAAGATGGGCGTTTGCAACACCTACATAATCACCATAACATAAATAATGACTATTGCTCTTAAACTTGGATTACAAACCGGGCCGCTATGAAGATGCAAGCAGCAGTCCCCAAGTATGCAATGAGTATGCCCACCCAGGTCTCGGCTGTAAAAGGGGTCAGAAAATCAAAGAAGCCGGTTGCCTCTGAGATGTCTTTTCTTAGCAGGATGCTGATTCCTGTCTGCATGAACGGTTTGGTCATCCCCACCACTTTCTCCCGAGCAGCAGTCAGAGTCAGCGGGGCAATTGCAAGGTCTGCCTCCTGAAGGAAAGCATAAATAAACCTACGTTAAGATACTTTGGTGTACCAAAAATCCAGCAAAAACATTTTAATTATTATCAATGTAAAACTTGTAAGTCACAGGAGCTGGCTGGGTAATTCAAACTTCTGTAGAGTAATTTGTTTCCCTTGTCCCCTAAATGTCAGCAATGTCATGTACTCACTCCTCTTATGACCTCTCCGACCATCCCATTCCAGGTCCCGCTCTCATCCTGTCGACCGTATGAGCTGTCTTTAACTAGCTGCACTCTGTACTTGAAGCCAAGTTTCTTGGCAACTTCAGACAACAGGTCCATGCAAAAGCCCTCCATTTGTGAGCCTTTGGACATTGTATATGGCTCTTGCTGAAAAACAAAATTCAAAAGATAATAAGTGAAACATGTTTCATCTGAAACTGTGTATTAAGGATTACGAGAAACAAATGTACTATTAGTCAAGTCAAATCAAGCTTATTTAATATAAGACATTTCAGCAACAAGGCAGTTCAAAGTGGTCACCAGAGATTCAGAAGCATCAAGACAAAGGAAAAGAATACATTGTTGATACCTTTATTGTTGTGATCCTCAGCTCTGATGCCACTAGTAATGAGGGAGGAAAGTGAAAGTATAAATAAATTTTAGATACAAGCATTCATCATCTCTATGAGAATTTAGATGTAAAGAAAGGTGGAGGCGAGGAAGAGGAAGAGGAAGAGGAAGAGGAAGAGGAAGAAGAGAATTAAACCAGTGGTTTCTTCAGCAAATTTTTTCTTGTAAATTGCTGGATTCTGAAAACTCATCAGCCTTTAAAAATGCTTCAAATAAGACAGAATAAAATACAATAAATCATTGTTTTGTTCATAGCTATGCTCCTCAATTTGACTGTTTTAGTTCGTCAAATGTTCCAGAATAACATATTTTCTAAATACATATTCATATACAGTATATTCTAAAGATTAAGATGAAAATTGTGTATAGACATTCAGATGTCCAAGAGGATGAATCACACTGACTTATGATCCTGTCACATTCAGTATGAAACTATTAGTGTGTCATAGTTTTGAAGTTAGTTATAAACTCAAGTATCTCAGGATCCGTTGAATGGAAGGGCACAACCTTTTGAACAACTGGATGATAAAGCCTTAGATGATTTTGGCAATTTCTTCATTTTTTCTTAAGTTACAGTTTAGCTCGAAGCATTTAAATCTTAACAGCCGGACAAGACAGACAGTGTATTGACTCCTATTACAAAGGATATGGATAAACTTGATTGTCCCCTGAGGGAAATTAGTCTTGGACAACAGTGTCAAATCCTCCTTTGTGCAATGTCGATCTTCAGACTTTATTTTGGGTTGCAGAGTCGCTAAGGTGGGTTTTGGGGTGCCAGTATTGACCCTCTTGTCACAGCTGGTTTCCGGTATCATGGAGATCTGGCTCTCTTGTTGTCTGCTTGAAAACGATTTGCACTCCCCAATCTATTTAGAGCAGCGTTTCAATTCAAAAATTCTCAATGACATGGCACTGTGAGATGGGAGGGCAGTCAAAGAGTATCAAAAGCCTCAATTCAGGCCAAGGCCTTGGGGATCCATCACCACAGGGGGATCCTGACACCCATCAGATCCTCCTTTTCAAAAGATGACACGTATACAAGCTCTTCAAGCCCCTGTCACTTTTTGGCCACTCGAACACACAGGCTCTTTGTTTGCTCCATACAGTTGATTTATTACCGATTTTTTGTGACAGTGTCAACTGGCATGCTTCCTTTTCTGTTTTTCTATACAACTTGGACAGGATGTAGGCTGCACTTTGACATCGAGCCAAGCTGACTGTTTGTTTATCTATGCCTTGTCAAGCATCAAAGATATCTACCAAATCCAGCAGAGAAAACATGAGAAATTTGGCAAAGAAAAAAAAACTGTTGGTGCACAAGACTGAAATATAAATGCAGTGACTGGCATAAACCTTGAAACTGCACAGTTAAGTAGAGAAAAAAACAATCACGCTTTAAATTGTCAATCAGACTAAAGACTTAATATAACTCTAACTCAATTACTTTAAATGTGTTTGAAGGTCATAAAGAGGTTACTGTTATCTAACAAGCCTGGTTAAATTGGTTTTATATTTTGATCCATAGTATAGACCTGAATTTAAAAATAAGCTCCTTACCTGCAGTGCAAACTCCCATGTCCAGGAAAAACCAAACAGACAACACAAAGAAGCCAAACGTCATCCTGATTCCCCTGATGGACATCCTAAAAAGTTATTAAAGACAATAACTGGTTGGCTTGGCATTATATGAATGACTTTGGTAAACTTGAATAAATTCAAAACAAAGATGGTCCCTGAATTAAATGTAAAATATTAAATTCATTATAATGTGAAACAATCTAGACAATTTTATCAGTCAAGGAGAGTAAATATTTAGCCTGTCCTTATTACCTGACAAATGTCCAAGATGTGACTGCTGGATTCGCACGTCCGACTTCAGACTGACCTGAGTGAGCTCGATCGTGGTCGAGCGTGATCTGAAGTTTTTCAGATTCAAATGTTGAGTCAGCCACATAGTCTTTGTGGGTGGAGAAAGTGGAAGACGTTTGAAGGGGTGGAGAGAAGCAGCATGAAGTATGAATATATAGCATCCACTGTGGAGAAAATGTAAATGAATCATTCTGTACTGAAAATGACCATATTTATTTTTGGGACAGTTACCCAATGGACAAATTGGAAATATTGTATTCAAGTTCAGTATGTTATACTATATTATACTTTATAATCATATTGCAAGTGAACAACATTAAATATTTGAATTAACTGAAGCATGTTGCTGCTGTCTTATGTATTACACTTAAAGAATGATATAAATAAAGTTTATTTTAAAAGGCGTTTTAAATAAAAGGGATGACGCCGCTGAAATAGATAAGAGACAAATTAATCACAAGTAATTAAAAGGACACAGCAAATCTAAATTGTGTGGCTTAAATGTTTTAGGTAAAATTGTTGTGAATTTGTGCACACGTATGATAATTCAAACAAGCTGTAACATAAGCTTCTGAAGTATCACACTCTCTTCCTTAAGAGAAATCAATCATTAGGATTATCTTACAAGCTAAATTTTGTGCTGCATGCCCTGAAGAATTTATTGAAACCAAACAAAACCCATGTTCACCGTTGTGACTATAGCTTCGAGTTGGCCTTGAAAAAAATGTTGGAAGCTCAGTTAAGAGGGCTCATAAAACTATCAAAATGTTCAAAGCTGGCATGAAGCCTGAACCATTTTTCTTGTGTTACTCCAAAACCACTATTTAACAAAGCTCCTATTTGTAATATTGGCACTCTGGATTGTCAAAATGATTGACTCGATGTAAATTTTCATGAAGAATTTATTTATTTTCTATTGCAAATAAAATGGTCAAGGTTTCTGACCGATGGGCCTAAAGCTAATTTAGACCATGTGTTTTGTTCATTGTTTTGCTATGTCTTCATTAACATAGAGACAATGGTTTAAGGTTTAATTGGGCAGGGATTAAAAAAGTGGCAGCTTTAACTTGAATGGGACAGTCTCAGAGGTGCAATGTATGGTGGCCAGTATAGGCGCTTAGGCTCAGCAATAGCTGAGATGAGATGAGGTACATTTAGAGGAACGCACAGCATATTCAGAAACACTGCACATTCAAAAGCAAATTCAAACATCCAAAACCCATGCAACAGCTGAAACGTGCTGCAAATACAAAACAAAACAAGCGTTTTGACCGCCTACATTTATGGCAAGAAAGCTAATAGAAGACAGATTTTCACAAATTGTCCCAATATTCCTGAATTCCCCGATATAATAAAATGCAACACTTTGGTGTTTGATCTCATAGCAACCACCTTCAATGACCAGCCAACAAAGACATATGATGTAGAGTTAATAACTCAAGGGCAAGCAGACCCAAATAAAGACAAGCCAACAAAAAAGGCTTTGGAAAATACAGAAAAGAAAAGCGATATTCAAGCATTTCGCCAAAATTAACAATAAACCTTGTAGCTAATATGTTTATGTCTTTAATATTTTCCAGGGGTGGGTAAGGCTACAGCTGGGCCTACTTAGTAGTCTAAAGAGAAATAGCAAATTTTAAGGTTTCAGCATGATCCCATTTGTATTTCTGGCATTTTATAGACAAAAAACGTTGAAGCTAAATACAAATGCATATCAAAGGTACTCTATCTCGCTTTTCCAAGCTGTTTCACTTCAGTACACTCATTAACAGATATTGATTAATTTGTCATTTTGTTATTTTCTAACAATCAAGTCAGCAAGCAAGCAAGCATGTTTTAAGACTTGTGAAAACTGTAACATTTAAGTTGCATAAAAATCCCCATCAACAGCTAATGAGTTGCCATGCCAACATAGTTGTGTGTCCTTGACAACTGATCAAACTCCCCTATCTATTTATCGTGTTGTTAGGGTGTTAGAACGACTAGAACAGCTTTCGAAACTGCAGGTGTATGACAGGTACAACATGGGGTCTGTGGGGAAATGAAGATGAGGCCACAAGGCGCGCAATATATGTATCGTTGTTTTACCAATCGCTTCTACGTGTAATGAACTCTACAGTGAGCTCGATGCAATCGGTGTACTGCTCTGACCAATCAGAAGCCGGTGCGCGACAGCTGCGAGGTGAAGCCGCGACCTACAATTGGCTGAGGTGATTTTTTTTTCCAAAGGGGCGTATTTTTCAAGCCATCTTGACTGAATATTTAGCCTCATCCAAGGTGCATTAAATTGATATCTTTGAGATTCAACCACCCTTAGGTTGGGAACCAGCATCATTAGAAAGGTTAAAACCATATCTATGAAACCGGGTCGTGTTTGTGTGTTGAGCGGAGGTTACGGCGAAGAGTTGACGTGGTGAAGATGACGCTGTCGCTCCTGAAATTACCGGCTAGCTAGGCTAAATGCTGGCATGTCCGCCTTGGTTGTAGTCTGTCACTAGCTGACATTAAGCGAGGAGCAGTTTTTCTCGTCTGCCACTCGCGTTGCAGAGGACGAACTCACAAGGTAAACCACTCTGATATGTTCAGCATTTACAGCCTTGCTAGGGAATCCTGCTGTTTCGTTACACGACTTCTGTGTGTCCCTGTCCGACCGAGTAACGTTATCACATCTTTTGCAGGGGTCTGGAGTACAAAGCCAAAACCCGAAACGTTGCACATTTGTTGTGTCGTTGTCTGACATATTCATGCAGTATATTTGTGAATATAGGCACGGTGCGTACAGTGCGCCTGCTTTCTGGTTGCTGTTGGCATGTATAATTGGGCTGCTAATCAACTTGCAGTCCAAATGTTGTCTCTGCTGTTGTGCGCTTAAAATGGCTGACAGATGTTAGATACTCGGGTTGGTATTTAGCGCTCTTCAACCTAACTACACACAGTAACAAGGGGGGAAAATAGAGGATACCGGGTTTTGATTGGTCAGAAAGAAACGTAGAAACGTAACAGACTTCTGATTGGACCAATGGAGAGAGCTGAGGGTCCCTACATGCAAGCAGTACCACTGAGCTGTACTTGTATTTGTGCAGGAAGAGTACTTGAGGTAACATGTTGTGTTTATCACAACAGAACCAGAGTTGAACTCTTTTACAAAACGGATTTGGACAGAATAGATTTGACAAACACAAATGAACAAATCTGATGAGGATTGATGGCATTTATTTGCAGCAAAAAGGGAAAATTATAAACTGTTTAACATGACAATGATAACAGGTTGAATGTTTAAACTATTTTTCTACTCATTAAGTAATGTGTTGTTACATGTCAACTATTGTTTTGCTTTTTTCCTTCCTTCATTTTGCCATCGAGATATAGCAAAGAAATATGTTGTCAAAAGCAATGAGGATATATTTTAGTATTATGACAACATTTTGAAAATGTCATGTCACAATTATCCTGCCAATAATCATACACCAATGTGTAATTCAGGATATGCAAAGTTATTAAATATCCTTAAAACTTTAAAATTGAACTAGAATTTTTTGTAATCCCTCTACAGTACAGTTTGTGAGGAAACACATATTTATTTGCATCATCCAAAGGACTTAAATCATTTTAGGGAACATCCTTTTTAAGTGTAAATTAATCAAACAATGGTAGCTGTGGTAGTACTTGATCAAAAGAACAGTCCTGCAAAATTACAGGAAAAACTAATGGTAAAAATATGCCGGTATAGGACTGAATCAAGGGGAAACAGACGGCTTTAAAAGTCTCACATGAGAATAATTATTTTCCTGATTCACTATGACTTAATGGAGATTCACCTGATTGTGTTTTATCGTAACTGTTTTGTGAAATCCCCTTTCCAGATCGGGGTCCTGCATTTTATTGAATCGAGACTATTGTTAAATGTTGTTGGACACGTAACATTTACAATAGCTTAATGACAAAACAACAGCTACAATAAGTCTGAATTTATTGCACTTTATGCTTTTGTCATTTTAACTTCTAATGTAGAGCATGTTGACATTGAAGCCTGAATTGTTGTATGAAATATTTCTCTTCCTTTTGAATTTGTCAGCAGGCAGTGTAAACTCCTATGCGGAAGGCCAGGAGGTGGGAATGTGAGACAGTTGCAGGCAGACTCAACATGGGCAGGGGTCGAGGAAGAGGGAGAGGAAGGGGCAGGGGATCATCTGGCCAGCTGCGGCCCCCCTCGCCCTACAGACTGCAGCTATCGCCCTCCAGGGAGACTTTAACGTATGCTCAGGCACAGAAAATAGTAGAAGTGGACCTTGAGGGAAGGCTTCATCGGATTAACATCACAGATCCTCTGCCAGTTATCACAGAGGACGAGATGATGGCCCAGGACATTGCTGAGTGCAACAGCAACAAGGAGAACAGTGAGCAAACGCAGAGTAGAACCAGATCGTGGAGGAAACCCTCAAACAGTAAAAGCAGGAGGAGCAGTAAGAATACGTCTCACCAGAACCAACGGTCTGGATCGCAGCAGAACACAGGATCTACTTATTCTGTCCAGCACCCGTCCCACCAAAGCCCTTTGCCTGAGCCAACCTTCCGTTTGCTGGGTTCAGTTTCCCCCTCAGAGGCACCTCCTCTCCCATCAGCTTACTATCGTTTCATAGAAAAGTCCCTAGAGGAGCAGGACAGCGTGGCTGAGTACGACATGGACGAGGAGGACCTTGCCTGGCTGGAGATGGTAAACCATAAGAGAGTGTGTGACGGTCATGCCTCTGTTTCAGCGGACACCTTTGAACTGCTGATTGACCGTCTGGAGCGTGAATCAATCCTGGAGTCTCGCAGTCAGGCACTGTCACAGAGTGCAGTCGACGAGGATGCTTTTTGCAGCGTCTGCCTGGACGACGAGTGTCTAAACAGTAATGTGATCCTGTTCTGTGACATCTGCAATCTGGCTGTCCACCAGGAGTGTTATGGTGTACCCTATGTACCTGAGGGTCAGTGGCTGTGCCGCTGCTGCCTGCAGTCCCCCTCCCGCCCTGTAGACTGTGTACTCTGTCCCAACAGAGGAGGTGCCTTCAAACAGACAAGTGATGGACGTTGGGCCCATGTTGTCTGCGCCATATGGATCCCAGAGGTTTGCTTTGCCAATACAGTGTTTTTGGAGCCTGTAGAGGGAGTTAAGAACATCCCTACTGCTCGCTGGAAGCTTACCTGCTACCTGTGTAAGCAGAAAGGCAGGGGAGCGTCCATTCAGTGCCACAAAGCCAACTGTTATAGGGCCTTTCATGTCACCTGTGCCCAGAAGGCCGGCCTCTTCATGAAAATAGACCCGGTGCGGGAGACAAGTGTCAACGGGACCACCTTCTCTGTGAAGAAGACGGCTTTCTGTGAGCATCATTCTCCAGTTGGGTCGCGGGGAAGGGATGGGTCTGGAGACGAATCCGTCGAAGGGAGACTGGTGGGAGGCAGGGGTAACAGAGGTCAAAGGTCATACACTCAAAGTCCCCCCTCGCCGCTGAACAAGAAAGCTACCAAGGGCCAAAAGAAGAAGAACACAAAGGGGTCCCGTGGGTCAACACGTCGCTCAAATGTGCCTGTGCTGCTTGTGCCTCAGATTCCTTCACACAGGTGGGACATTTACATACCGTCAGAATTTCCATACACAGCAGTTCCTATTACACATTGTAGTGCTCTGGTGTAGATTATTACATTTTTCTCTCTCTTTAGCTCTTATTAAACTTTACTCTCACAGTGCATGGAGGACATTATTCTGTACATAGCTTATTATCTTATCTTACTTGGTGCTTATTTCTTATTTATTGCTTATTTTATTTTTACATCTTAAAGGGATACTTCACCTGTTGAAACATGAATCTGTATTGACATTGGGTCATATATGTAGTAGAAATGTGAAATAAATGTTGAAGTTGGTGCCTTCTTGGCCGTGAAAAGGCAGAAAGTGTCTTTTTGGCTCATGTGGATGAAAGACACCAAATCCCAGAATGCACAGCACTGCAGGCCACTCCCACTAAGGGCCTTGATTTCAGAATCAGAATCAGAAATACTTTATTAATCCCAGAGGGATTACAGCGTACAGTTTCTCCAAAATATACAATATAGCAGTAGAAATATAGTAATAAGAACATTTACAGTCATATTTACTTCAACACGAGGCCATTTCCTCTACAGATTCCGAGATTTCTTCTAGAATTGAATTGGTATCTTGGAAAACAGACTCTATGTCTGTGTCCATAGGCAAACAGTGAGAACACCGACACTACCAGCTCGCCCCAGCTCGAGCCGGTCCGGGCTCCTCGTCCTCACCACCGCTGCCAGCTCTCGGCTGCTGAGCTGCCAGCGGCCAGCAATATAGCCGACAGGCCAGTCTTGTGTCACGGTGGCCAGTGGCCAGCGGCCCCAGCAGCCAGTGGCCAAAACACAAGACTGGCCTGTCAGCAGCAGCCGTCTCGCCGCTATATTTATATTTTTTCGCCATTATCAGCTTTCTCCATAGAGCCTGTTAGCATAGCTTCCAAGCAATATGGCGGATGTTAAGTTTCCATTCTGGGAGTGAGTTCCCACCCACTGATCTGTGATTGGTCTGTAGCTTCAGTGGTCGAAAATATGAGGAACTAGCATTGTAGTTTCACCCTGCTAACCGCAACAGCTTCCAGTGACGCAAAATGACGATTTTTGCATTATCGGAAGCTCCATTCAGACTTAAAAATACAAAAGATTTCCCATCTCAGGGGGAAATGAGGGCGGGATGCACGACCATTGAAAAATACTACCAGGTTTCTAATGATACAAAGCTTAATGCAAATGGTTAAAGTATCCCTTAAAATTATTTCTATATTTCCTGCTGCTGTTTTGTGTTTAAGAGCAACTGTAACAATCAAATTTCCCCCTGGGATTCATAAAGTGTTTTTGATTCTGATTATATACATGTATTGATCCTTTCAATAATCCTGCCAAAACCTTTTTTAATCCACAACTGTTAACATCTCCACAGGCTGAACAAGATCTGCACAGGAGTGGAAGTCCAAAGGAAGAATCAGTTCATGCAGAGGCTTCATAACTACTGGTTATTGAAGCGACAGTCACGAAACGGGATGCCTTTAATACGGCGGCTTCATTCCCATCTTCAGGCCAACAAGACAGCAGAGCAGGTGGGGACAGAGATGATGTGCTGTGTATGTTTTAATTACATTAGAAACTATTCCACAATAATCCATTTATTTTAAAGTAGAGTCTCAGCTTTACCATGACTAAGCCATATTATTGTCAGCACCTATTTACACCTGACTGAAAGCCTAACCTGTGGGTTTTACCTTTTTTCCTTTTTTTTCCTTTTGACTGCCTCATTATTTGCTTGACTTGCTTAAAGCTGTTTTTTTACATAAATTTTGGCTTTCTATCCTCGTGGTTAGCAGCATGAGTTATTCAAACCATCACATTTACATTTACAACAACATGATTATCAAGCCATCACAGAACATAGCAGAAACTGCAGAGTCACTTGAATCACACCACTTCACACCATTTTTGTAGACTCGCACAATGTAATCCAAACAAAAGGCAAGACATCACACTTTGCAGGACAAGAGTTAAGCCGTTTTCACATATGCACTCCTGAAAATGTCTAGATAATTTTAGGAGGACTGCTCCGGAGATTCTCCTGACCTGGCCGTTCACATTATGCTCCTCACAGCTGGAGACTATCCCTGTCAGAGGGGAGGGGGAGGGGGAGGGGGGGGGGGGGGGGTTTCCTTTGGTTAGACGTGACGTAAAAATACAACGCGGAAGTAGCGGACGAAGCAACAGAGTCTGCTATACGACGCTATAATGCGAATATTTGCCTTTATATCAATGCTATGTGTAGTCCAGCGGAATGGCAACATCAACAAAAGAGTTGAGAACAACATACTGAGCCGTTTAATTACCAATGACTGAGCATAGTGTTCGCGTGCAGATACTATGCACCATGCAGTAGTAACAGTATATAATCGTCACTCCCCCCTCCTATTGGCTCAAGGTGAAATCTCCCGAGAATATCCTGCAGCGTTCTCACTCAAACTTGCTGCAGAAAAATACTACGGGTCTGGCAGGAGAAACTCCGGGGGCAGTCCAAGCGAAAAATGTTGCTGTTTGCATTCACATATACGACTCCTCTGGGAAATATCCTGAGTTTTTCAGGCGATTTCTGCAGGTGTGAAAGCGCTATTTATTAGATGCATCTTTTCAGTGGACCTCACCCAACAGCAGGGGGCAACAATGGGTAAAAGTTATTGATAAAGGTTTGAATTCATTGCCCAATCATTTATTCTGCAAGAGGAGGGCCTAAGCTTTTTAAAGCGTTCTACTTTTTATTTTGATATTTTTATACATTGTTTGGGATTAAAATATGTATATAGGGCTGCATTTTTACAGTTATGTCGATATGGTAGCTTTTCATACCAACTTAGATGTGGATACATAAATATTATTACATTTTAGTAAAACCAAATTGAATTGAGATTAATTTACCCCAAAAAAGCATTTTTATGGCTTTGGCTTTTTGGACATGTCAATTTTTTTTTCATAGTCATAAAACTTCAGGATCCATAAACAGATTTTACCCATCCTGCAATGCGTAATGATGCACACTGGACTCTCTGAGCCATAAAATCTCATAATTTTCCTCACATCTCAATCAATAAAAGTACAAAATACAGAAAGTTATTGTTGTAAAGAACTTTAAAGCTGATTAACATGTCTTTTATTTTTTTGGTTTTTGTGCTTTTCATTTTCAGAGGGAGCCTGATGAGAAGCTGTGCGCTGCAAGAGAGGAGCTACGGTACTGGCAAAAGCTGAGGCAAGACTTGGAAAGAGCCAGACTATTGGTGGAACTCATTCGCAAGAGAGAGAGGCTAAAGAGAGAGCAGGTGTGTGATATAACAGGAGCTATGATTATAAAGTGTACCTTAAAAAAAGAGACCCCCTTCTGCATTGTCATCAATATGTTAATCATTTGAATATTTAGGGTGACCTTGTGCATCCTCTCCTCTCTCCTTTTATGTTTACCTCACCTCTCCTCAGATGAAAGTTCAGCAGGCTGCTCTTGAATTGAAGCTGACCCCTGCATTGGTGCTTCTGCGATCCACTTTAGACCAACTGCAAGAGAAGGACACTTCAAAAATCTTCTCTCAGCCTGTCACTCTGTCTGAGGTTGGTGAGGTTAGGAAACAATCTGCTTAAAATTCATTTTTTTGACTTACTACTTGACTGACTCGGCTAACAGTCTAAATTCTCATGATTCACTGAGGTCCCAGATTACTTGGAGTTTATTTCTCAACCCATGGACTTCTCCACCATGCGCACCAAACTGGAGGGACACGCCTACTGCTCCATCGCAGACCTAGAGAAGGACTTTGACCTCATGATCTCCAACTGCCTCAAGTACAACTCCAAGGACACCATGTTTCACACGGCAGCCTTACAAATGAAGGAGGTGGGTGGAGCGGTTCTACGTCACAGCCACAGACAGTCCCAGAGCATCGGCCTGGACCCACATACAGGGATGCATCTCCCTGAGACTCTGAACGCACACAGCTTCTACTCCTCTACGTGGGACGACAGTGAGTTTAAGGCTGGAACAAGATGTTTATTTTATTACCAAATCCTTCTTATGTCTTTTCTCTTAATTTGCCTTTTTGTGTCTGTTCTTGCACTCTACAGTCGATTCTCTCTTGGACCCAGACAACAGGCTTCACTTGAGCACTGACGAGCAGCTAAAGGCCTTATTGGACAAACTGGACGTGGTCACATCAATGCGAACCAGCGGTGGTCGAACCAAACGCATTAGGCTGCTGCGCAGAGAGATCAACGCACTCAGACAGAAGATGAATCAGCAGCAGCAGCAAAACTCTCAGTCTGTAAATGGAATTGACAAGGAAGATGAAGAAAATGAAGATGAGGAGGAGGAGGGGCAAGAAGAAGATAAGAAGCCGCAGAAGGAAAAGAAAAAGGGGAAGCCTAATGTCGATAATGGACCTTTGAAAGAAGTGTCCCACTCCAGAACAGGTAAAACATGCTTGTTCCTTCTTTATTTTACTTCAATGATCGTTTAGACTGTGAGGGAAATATTAACTTAATAATAAAGCATTAGGAACTGCTCAAATACCAGCCTTCCTTCTTGATAACAATTACAATACTAGATGAGTGTTGGCCAATAAGCACCACCTGGCAAAAGTCCATTAAAAAATATACGTTTTATCCGTGGAAAAACACTGATTGCTGAAATCTCTGGCAGAAGCGTCTGGTCTCCTTTCACACAGATTTCCAACCAGCCTGCTTCCATTAGGTTCATCCCAGTTTTCTCATAAATGGTGGGTTTAGGTGTTGTCTAGGATTTTTTAAAATTTTCTTTTATAAAACTGAAATGACGCTTGCCACGTATCTGTGACATTATAAATGAGCTGTTGAGGTGAATGTTAACAAATGACTGTGGTTTATTTGAGTTAAAAACAGTAAATGTCAAACGTCTGTGTAATATGTTGAACTGTGAAGGCATCTGTACTGGATGTTTGAACTAGCTACCTGGCCTAGTGCTATTTGTTTTATCGATTTGAAACAGTGAAAAGCAGCAGGTTAGAGACTTGAAATAATAAATGACTATCATTTCAGTTGTTCATGATCATAAAACACATTTCTTTCTTTTTGACCCAGATGACTCTCCACCTGTGCTGGAACTAACCTGTCCAGTATCATCGCCGCTCCCAGGAGATGCTCCTCTGGAACCTCCTGTCCTTGGCATCGTATCTGGAGGGCGAAGGTCACCTGGACGCTCCTACAAACGTCAGCGGTCATCCCGCAGTGGGAGCAAAAGCCAAGGTGAAGATGAGGCTGAAGTTGGTGAAACGCCATCATCACAACCGGAGGCTGTACACGAGGTCACCCCGCTGGGTACACCGCCCACTCTGTCTCTGGTCGGAGTCGGTCGTCGTACGTCTGTTCTGTTTAAGAAAGCTAAAAATGGGGTACGAATGGGGAAGACAAAATCCACACTACAACAGAATGGGAAAACACCTGAGGAGAAAACAAACGGTTTGGATAGCAACCCTGCTAGCCCAAAGTCACCCAGTGTGACCAACGTCACCACTTTACCTCCCACTCCAAACGCTTCCCCGACCCCTCCCTCACCTTCCTCACACCACCTGCGGTCCAGAGGACACAGCTCCGAAAGTGAAGCCGAAAAACTCCCTCCACCACCCAGAGAAGGAGGCAAGGACAAAACACACAACTTTATTTCACAAAGAGATTTTAGAAAGACCATATTTGTCATTATTTATTTCTTCTTTGTTTTGCTAGGCCTGCCAAATGGAAAGCACGTCCTAGCTGACCAGGATGAAGAACAAAAACTAAAGTGAGTTAGTGGTTACAAAGGCAAAAAAGGGCTCATGTAGGAAAAGTAACAAGGACGAGCAATTTAAGGGGATTTGTATCATTTACCAGTTTTTCAATTCAGTTTACTACTACTGTAGACCTTTGCAATTATGTATTTGCAAATAAATAAGTTAATTTTCTAGATTTGTTCTATACACATTTCAGACAATTTATTTTTATATTTGAGCTGTTGCTATGCTGCTAGAAAAATTGGACCCCACTTATAAATGTTTTACTGTTAGGAATATAAAGTGCTTGTGCATGAAGAGAGATTGATTGAATGTAATCCACAGTCTCACAGTTGCACTTTATTTAAAAAAACATCCTAATAACTGTTTTTTCTGTCGTCTTGTTTACATCTGTAGTGGTTCTCCTCCAAAACGAAGTCGTGGTAAACCTGCACTGGCTAAAGTCCCAAACAGTGAGAATGGAGACACCTCTGCGTCTGGTGTGTATCATGAAAAGGCAATATGAATTCAGTGTGTGTATAAATCAAGCATGCAAACGTTTACAATTTTCATGATCAATGCAATAACATCTAATATTCAGTTCTGGCTATAGGTTTCTCAAAAATGTGTTTTAATTGGATATATTTGAATATCCCATTCACAGGAACGTCTACACTTCTGTCTTTAGATAGTGAGACCGAGCTAACACCCTTGGACCTGGTTTGGGCTAAAAGCAGGGGCTATCCATCGTACCCAGCTATGGTAAGGTTGGACTTGATCAGTGTTAACACTGTGGCATTTGTTTAGCTCATGAAATCCCCTAGAAGGAAATGATAATTCAGTCAACTTTGACTGACATGATTTATTGTTTCAGATTGTTGACCCAGACATGCCCCAGGAAGGGCTCCTTCACAACGGCATTCCCATCCCAGTGCCTCCTGTGGAGGTGCTCAAACTGGGCGAGTTGAGAGAAACGGAAGAAGGCGAAAAGCTCTTCCTCGTGCTCTTCTTTGACACCAAAAGAACGTGGTAAGATTCAGAAGAGCGGGCTGTACCTCATGCTGAATTTAAAAAAAAATGGAGAGCAGTGTTGGTCAATTTGTCTTTCTTGGTTTTCAGGCAGTGGCTCCCTCGGAACAAACTTCTGTCGCTGGGGATGGATGACACTGTAGATAAACTCCGCCTAATGGAAGGAAAGAAACCAAGTGTTCGCAAGTCTGTACACACCGCATACGACCGGGCCATGGCGCATTTAAACCACGTGAGAGGAAATCTTAACTTCACTCCCTCCAATTTTATATAATTTTAGTTTCAGGATTTTATGATCTTAAAACAGGCTGCCTGGTTAGATGTACAAAGCTTAATCCATGCTCCTAAAAAGGTGGGAACGTTAGAAAAGAATATATATTCCAACAGCTTCTTCATTAAACTGTATGTGTATTTTTTAAAAGGGGGGGGGAGTTGCTTGTAGACATTTTCCTCGACAAATTTGCTAATTTATTCCTGTAATTATTAAAAAAAAAAGATTTTACACAACCATTGTTACGATGTGTTCATATCAAGTTCTTATTTAAGGCCAAAGTGAGCGGAGACTGAAGAGTGAGAGAGAGAGAGAGAGAGTGTAAAATATTTAATTGTCAAAGGGATCGTCTTGATTCAGAATATATTTAGATTGTATTTGCAATTCAAATGTCACTGTGTTTTAATGAATTGTAAAAGTCCCACATGATGCTCACGTCATACCTGGACACTACTGATGACAAGTTCTATTTTTGTTTTTTAAATGAACTCTTGGTGGATTTAGTTGTATTACATTAACATTTTCCTTAATACATTTTTAAATAGAGCTACAATGCATTATTGATTAGTCATTAATTCCATCAATTTTAAACTTATTTTGATCGTTTGATTGGTCGAGTTATTCTCAAGAAAAAGTTTGAAATTCCATTCATCCAGGTTTTAACACAAAACAATTCAGTAAATGTTATTGGCCTTTAGGAAACACTGATCAACATTTCAATAAGAGTAATTCAAAATATATTCATTGTTACCTCAAAATTCTCTTTGATTTTAAAAATATAATTTTAAAGGACGCTTACTGCTGACATTGACATGTTAAGTTCCTGCAAGATATGTTCATTCAACAGTTCTGAGAACTGTTTAAAAGAAACATTCAGAGGAGTCAGAGAAGAATGTGCAGTGAATAGAAATACTGATCGATGTGCAAACGTCCTTGATTCTGAGTCCAGCTATGACGTGTTGGAGGTGGAACCTTAGAGGTCTTTGCTTATTTTTTCCATATTGTGAAAACTGTCATTTAATTCTGGATTGTTGGAGTCGGCGGAGCAGCTATTTGGTTAGTAAGATGTGAAGCCACTGCAGAGGTGGAACAGATTGTCCTGTGGTTTAAACTACATCTACTGTGATCATTCACTGAAGAACTTTGAATAGTTTGTTTTATCAGGCTGAATGAGTCTTAAAGCACAAGTTCAATCTGTTTAAAGAAAAGAAAAAAGATTGACTGGAGGAGGATGGCTGACTCCTGGAGCTGTCTATGTGGCTTAAAGTGATTTGTATGTGTGTACAGTATATACATATGAATAGAAGCTCAGTGTGGTAACAGGTGCATGTGTATAGTTCTGTAAATATGTAAATGGATGTTTATACTGGCTTATATGAAGTTATTTAAGGAATGCAAAAATCAAATTTAGATTTTAATTTATAAATTGTGGCAGTCGAGAGTGTTATTTAAAAATTCAAATATTGAAAAGATTTATGTATGAATAAGTAGCTTTGTAATAGTGGCGGTTATTCACCAAACATGTCCGAAACATTATCTAGAAGTGAAGTGTCACAGGACCTGAGCACTGTAGGCATCGTCTACAACGAGTTTCTTTGTTTTGTTTTCTTGGGTGGCATCGGGAGATCTTTGATCTTGTCATTTGAATTGTACTGCAAGATCTATTACCTGCCTGAGACAATATTTTCTCACACAAGAATAAATGCTGTTTGAAACAATTGCTGTTGTACGTCATCTTTAAACTACATTTTGTCTTCTGAACTCAATACACTGTATCAGTTCAAGGACAAGGCAGCACTTAAACTGAATTTAAGTATAACATGACTGGCTGTAATTACATTGTTTTGCACCTCCGATGTAAACACAAGGGGTTATCCTGCAAACTGACCAAAGCAAGCTCTGCAAAATTAAATGATGCAACATTTCATGTAAAGTCTCAATGTTTTTGTCAGGTAAGGACCATGAAGGTCGTTCTTTTTTTCATGCTTTTGTCTAACGCACTTACCTATTTGTCAGAATTTACCCCTTAAGTTTAATAGCTTGAAATGTGACCAAGCACTACATGCACCTGTTTCCTTTTAGAAGACACAAGGGGCATTTCTTCCTCATGGTGGCAACATTCAAATGTTTCCTATAATCTCTTGACTTTTTAGGTGGTCAGTTACATTAAACACCTTATCAGGAAGTATTAGGGACAAAACATTTGTATCAGGTGTTGATGTTCAGGCCTCTGTTATCATTTTTTAGAAATGTTTTAAATAATACAAAGCCAGGCATAAACTCAACTTTCTATTCTTGTTAGATCCTGAGTGTTGTGATGTAATCAACCATTATAAAAGATTAACTATGAGTGAACTACAACATTACCTAGAAGTGGGAAAAAAATCCATTAATGTAAAAATCGAGATTCTTCTATTCTGAGATTTATATTCATAACTTCAAAGAAATCAGCTCATCAGTCACTCCCTGTTAAGTACTAAGGCTAGCTCTTTAACTCAGTAGAATGACAAATGGAGCAGCAAGAAATTCAGCCAGTCACACAGATGACTGGAGTAGATCCTGAAGTATGTACTAATTCAAAAGTAGACTTTGAATCCATGAATCCAGAATCATTTAAAAATGAAAATAGATTCTGAATCAAATCGTCACCCCAAGAATCAAATTTGAAATAGAATCGAAACGTGACCCCAAAGATTCCCAGCCCTAAAATTGAGTGTTGAGTAATTTGGATGACAGCAATACATGTGAAAAGTACTGAGTTTCCCTTTTTCTTAGAATTAATCTCTGTAAACAGGACAGTTAGAAATGTATTTAATAAAGGTCTTTCAGACAATCATTTCTATTAAACAAAATGTATGAATAGAGGCAAATCTGTATATTATATTATTTACCCTATATGTTTGTTGGAACATCAAGTCTGACAATAATTTTGAAGACAGAAGAGGACGATGGTTTTGTTCTTTTGCAGGTCTGTGATATGGATGGCCATTTTTTTCTCTTCTGTATGAATGTTGTTAATTCTGTTAGAGGGGCTAGTCTTCCTGTTTGTCTTTGTTTTGTTATATTGCACTGTGTAGAAGGGTGTGTGACTGTATGTGTTGGACCCCAGGAAGAATAGCAAATGCGTATGCTGGTGCCGATAGGGATCCTAATAAAGAGATTTATGGAAATAAACTTCATATATAGCAGGTTTTCACAATAAATGACGGTCCATCAGTTTGTACTCTGAGCAATCTGTTAGTATCTAACTATTTCATGGGCCACTCCTCGTCACACTTGGTAAAACATTATACATATTCTACTGTACATACTAATTACGGTGTAAATCCTTACATCCTCCTTCACTCGTATTTGGAAGCGTTATTTATTGGAAGCTCCTATTTTATGAACAGAATCTTCTCTTTCCTATAATTAGAAATAACTGTTCAAGAAATTCTTAAGACAAATTGTTATGGAAAACGACAGGCTGGCAAAGTCATGCATCACATCATGTTTGAACGTTTTTCCTGGTAGATGTTAAATGAAGCTCATTCACGCCATCTATTTCTTAGTAACAGAGGTGAAGATTTGTGCAACTTGGGATTTATTTCATAATACTATAAACATACTCTTAAGACTTGAATAGACAGGAAATTCCTCCAAGGACACAAGGAGGACGCTACCGCTTAGAGGCCCTCTTTTAAGAAACTAATATCACAAAAAAAAATAAGTCGCCCAAAGTCACAACAATGAGCGCTAGAAAAACACTGAGTGACCACAGTTATATTTTCTAAACTTTAGACAGATGATGTCACCAAACTAGCATTGGTTTGACTCCTAGCGATGAGACGCTAACAATGACGATGCTGCTGATGGAAAAAGGACCAGGTGTGACTGACTGGGATTTTCTACTTGTTTTGTGTAACATAAATGAAACCTGACCATTTTAAAATGAGTTTGAAACATCAGTCGGATATGAAGTAACACAATGTTTTCAGGTTCTGCAACAGGGAAGTGCCACGTAATTCATACAGGGCGATGATTGCTCATGGCTCTGTGTGACAAATAGCAGCCAATCCCAGTTCTACCAGTTCCAGTTGTTGTTTCTCCGGTTTAGATTAAACCTTAACGCAGCATACTTTCATTTCTTGCATATCCTGTTGTGTAACATTACGGACTTTTTGCGGCATGTCCCAAAAAGAAACAAAAAAACCCAATTACAGTCTGCCTTACCTTTCACCTTAACTTAGACCAGAAAGAAGAGATGGGCAGCACGAGCCTTTAAAGGATCTCTCATCTGTTTGATACATTCACTGTCCGCAAGGAATCTGTCTCTTTTGACGTAGTAATAAAACAATATAAAAAACATTTAAATATCACTGCCATTTTTCTTCTACCACAGTCACATTTAAAACGCACCGATGCTTTTTATCTTGCCCTGGCTCGCTTTAGTTGGAAAGAGATCGTTCCTTCTTAAATAGTGTAAAACGTAGTGTTTGATTCCAGTAGTCAAAGTCTGTCAAGTCCAAGTGTTGAAAAAATATCTCGGAACCAGTGTAGAAACTATTGTTGACTGAGGCGGAGCAGCTAGAGTAGCACTAAGAGAGTCCTATAGAAGAGATAAGAAGCCGTTATCTGTGGAGTCTTGCTGGTCAGATTTGGCCCCTCGAGAGCTCTTACTGGGGTTTGGGGTGGTTGAATACTTCGGGGGGTATCGGATGAAGAGACGGTCCTCCTCCTTTTTGATCCACCTTAGAAGCTTAGTGATGGCTGTAATGGCACAGGCCTTCGTCACCAGAGGGCTGAAGCAGGTGTACAGCTCAAATTTACTCGTGACCTACATCAGAGAGACAAAGACATTCATGGTGAGGATCTTAACAGTTGGTTACAGTCTAAATAATTATAAGAATAACTTTCAATTTGGGGAAATGTGTTTATCTCCTTTATAGTGGAGAGCAAGATGAGAAGATTCATTTCCACAGAAGAAGTCAGAAAACACACGAACATAACTAATTTAGGTGCTGGGTCTTAAAATCAAGTCCAATTTGCTGTGCTTTGATGTCCACGCCCACAGGTGAGATTCCAAGATTTTGTTAAATAGCTAGCACCTGAGGAAGATCCCAGTAGGGGCTCGAAATGTTGTGTTCTTTAATGCATATAGCAAATAAATAGGGATATCTTCAGGAGCCCTAGTGTAGCGAGTCTTTATGCATTATATCTAAAGATTCATTTCCCTCCCATGTCTTGAGATTTTATTGTATTTTTAACCACCTGATACTGATGGTTTTGGATATCTGAACTTTTATACCAGCAGATACAAAGAACCAGCCCAATTCCAGTGTAACAAAACAGAACGGGATCATTATTTAACCTCTATTAAAGTCTTGCATTCTGTACATCTTTTACCTGGTGTGGTTTTAAAATCTAAAATATTTCCAAATTCTTCATGTAGCTCATTCATTTTTCTGCCACCCCCATAATACTGCGTGCTGCCATCGTCATGTGATAAATGACCTGAAAGAAGTTGTTCTTCACTGCTCTAGAACAGTACTCACCGGACGTCGCTATAATGCATCTATTGTCTCTACAGAACAGAACAACTTGCTGTGAAGTCTGCTAGTTTAGAGCAGCAAAGCAGAATTCAGTTCTAACAATGTCAGTTGATATTTTGTCAACGAGGACTGGGGCACTTCTGGTACTGCTTTGAGTAGAACAACTTTGTCTGTTCAGTAAATATGACAGCTAAGTAATAACACGAGTCAACAGGTTGTCTTGTCGGATCCAAAGCACCTTAAATGTAGTTAACATGTAAAGTATATGTAGTCACTGACATAGTTGTAGCCTCAGTAAAAAAAACAGAACTTGGGTTTTTGTAAGGGTTAATAAACCTTTGGTCAGAGCTATGCTAGCTTTTCCCTTTTCGTTCTAAGATTAGCTACACTCAGCGAACTATCCCCCTGCCTCAAGTCTCACAGGGAACACACAGATATGAGAGTGGAAACAATTTCACCGTCTGACTCTCCACAAGAAAGCAAACACATTGTCCAACATTTTCAACTTAACCTAAGACCCCAAAGTTCCTTTAGACTTTCTCATGTCACAAAAAAATCAAAGGCACAAAGTATTTCGTGGAGAGACAGTATTCATTTGTTTCACATAGTAACAAAAGAGAATATTTCCGTTAACATACCCAGGCTAGCAGAGTTTCCCTCTCAGCGACGTGGTAAATCAGCTTGAGTGGTCGTGAGGGGCTGTGGATGCGGCTGTGCATGTAGCGATAAAGGTCTAGCAGTCTCATTTTCTCTTCGTCACTGCTGTACGGTGCCTCCATCTCTGGGCTTCATGCAGCAACACATCACAGAGGAAAAGTTACAGACAAGAAAACATCTGTCATTGAAACTGTGTGCAACCATATAAAACGCAGCTTCAAATTTTTTTTTTTTTTTACAGATGTTTGTTTCTTTGTAATAATGTTGAGAAAAGTGTTTCATGGATAGAACTGGTTTATGTAGTGCTTTGAATATTTATTTAAATTCATGTGAAAGGTTTTGGTTTGCTGCTGGCGTATGTAGTAAGACACTCGATGCCTTTACTTCAGCCCATGAAGAGATTAGAGAAGTTCATTGGCAGGATTATTAAAAGACTTAATATTTTCTGAGAACTTTTATTCCACTGTGCTCCTGTAATTGGAAGTTCTTTGACAGAAAACCTTGTATTCTGAATTGACAAATAAACCCTTAAATGTCTAAGTAATGTACTTCTTAGGAGTAAATGGGCTTTCCTACTTTCCCTTGTACAAGATTTTTCAGTTTCCCTACCATGTCCTCTATTTAAAATACAAATTTTCTTTCTTATTTTACATTATCTGAGATAGTTAACACTTTTCCTTCTTGACTACATGCAGTGCATTTTTTCATAACATTTGTATGATTTTTGGCATGTCAAATATATATATGTATTTTTTTCCAACACCAGATTAATCTCACATTTCACTCCTACTGTTGGATGTTTAATGACAGATACAACAAACAGACCTGGTGAACTGCGTGAGCTGGCGGTAGTTGTCTGGCACATCGAAGGGCTTGTACATGAAGTGTCTGAGGTCTGAGACGCCCACCTGGCTCACGCTGTAAGACTGGACCTTGGCGATGAGGCTCAGGAGTTCTGAGTCGCCATGGCCTCCTCTATCTTCCTCTTACACTCAGCTACTGAGTAGAAAGCCTCCTTGTCCGTCGAGAGCAGCAGCAAACAAACAGTGCATTCTGGGGGGTCCAGGTAAGAAATATATGCATAAAAATAACAGTCCGGATTAAAGAGGGGGAGGCAGATTGGAGTCCAGATCTCCCCGGCCTGAAAGGCGGAGGAGGCTCCGATGAGGTTGAGCAGGAGGTGGACATCTGCGGGCTCCAGCCTGCTGTCCTCAATGACCGTCTTTTCCTGGACGATCGTGAGCAGCTGGTTGTTGGCGATGAGGATAGAGAAAACCAGATTGGGCGTGATGGCTTTCTGCAGGATCTGGCTGAGAGAATCCCTGAGAGATGATGCTAAAGGCAGGCAGTGAACGGCTGCGAGCAGGAAACTGGGGTCAGAATCCACCAGGTTGAGGAGACCATCCAGGATCTTCTCTGATCCGGCAAGGAGTCTCCTCAGGTCGTAGTTTTTCTTGTGCTCAAAGATGCGGGATATGCTAGCCTGGGTGAGCATGCTTATGATCTGATAGTACACATAGAGGAGCTCTCCACGCAGCTGCCGCTCAGACTGACGACTGCTGGACACGCACACCAACACGAGTGGCCCTTTCTGTAGGAATACTACGGTGTGCTCCTCTGTAGGGAGGAGGGAAGACCAAAAATAAAAATGAATAAAAGAATACTGAAAGTTGTGATAATTCTCTGCTAATGATGATCAACAGAATATACACATCTTGGTACTTGATGAGTCATTTAGAATTAGACATGATATAGAAAATCTTATAACTTTTAACCACCAGTTACATTTTACAAAAATATTGTAGAATATTTTTTCTTTCAGTCCTCGATTATGATTATATTATCATCTACAGACACGTTTCTGGTTCCACTCTTAAATCACTGGATAAACTTTGTCACTCTGCCATCAGAATCATAGATCAGAGATCACTATGCCTTTTCCTAACTGATTACTTTCCAGATACACTTCCCTGTGGTGCAGCACTTCAAATCAATTTGTTACAATTAACCGTCTGCCTACAGCAAGCCTGAGCTACTACACTCATACACAAGTCACTCCTACAAGAACCTTGTGTAACTCCACATTTACTTTCATTTTTTAGGTAGAACATTACATCCATAATAACTGATCAAAAGTTATGTGGAAATAAAAATTCACACTTTGCACTCACCTGAGTAGACTGAGCGGATAATATTATCTCCACTTTGAACAAAGGAAACCAGTGCCATCATGACTCCCATCGTGGATGATAGAGCCTCTTCACTACCGTATCTGGAGTAGATCGGTTTGCCCGCTTCGCTGAGCACAAAAACATGCTTCCTGTGCTGCCGCCAACTCTCAGATGTCACGTCCTCCTCACGGTGAGACATAAAGGCAGGGGATTCCTGGGTCCCTGCCTCCAACAAGGGAGATGACCTTCCTTTAACACCGATACCCTGCTCCTCCAGCTTGGCCTTGGCCAGCATTGTAACAACGAACTCCCCGGAGTCGCTCTGGTCATTGTCAGCGGCAGCCTCCTCGCTTTCCCCAACAGACTGCTGGGCGGACACATTATTGTGACACTCTGAGTTTTGTGTCTCCTCAGTCTCTAGCTTTGTTACCTGGTTAGAAATAGGTTCTGCATCCAGACTCTGCTCCTCTGCTGAGACATCTGAAGAGAGGGAATCTGCAGTTTCCTCTTTGCTAATACTTGCACTGTTGTTTCTCTTCACTGCGTCAGGAAACATGTGATTCCCCAAGAGGGAGAGAGATGTGGCCAACGTGTCACCTAAGATGAAACAATAATTAAGTTGGGATATGAATAAAAAACAATGACAAAAGGTGCTTTGAACTACAGAGAGAAGATGAGATAGTTTACCAGGTGGATTGCTCGCAGACGGTGGACCACAAATCTTGACTCCCTGTGCCTCTCCTTCTTGATGATTGTCTCTCTCCATGATACCATCCCAGTCACTGGAAACACAGCAACAACAAAAAAAAAACATTACAACCCAAGTCTGAAAACAAAGCTGTAGTCTTAAACTTCTCAGTGGCTGTAGCTGAACCTTGAGACAGCATGCATCTCCCTTTCTAGTGAATAGGAGCACTCATACTGGACTGGTGGGCAGGTCACATGATAACAGAGGATAACTGGTTACAACAGAGTATTACAACTCCAAGATACCAAACAGACTCTGGAGTTTAAGACTGATTACAACTTCCAGCAGCCTGGCTAATGTTGCACTAAAGATTAACAGCGGACCAAAGTAATTGTTAGTTGACCGCCAGATCTAGTGAGCTAAGGTTTGACTATTAATGACTACTTATAAAGCTGACGTTAGCTTTTCTGATAACTTCTTCGCCGCCACGTTAAGTTAACTTTCCATTCACTGCAAATTCCAATTCAACGCAGTAAATGTTGACTGCAGTTACACGGCTAACGCTGCCTGCTAGCAGGCGACACACAGATCAATTTCATGGCCTTGGCATTATAGGGATCATGCAGGCAATCCCGGTCAACTAGATTTAGACCAGGGTGAAGATTAACAATAACACTCACAATGTCTGTGCCGTCGAAATGTTGAGTTGTGAATCTACTTCGATACATTAACCTTCATCAGCAGCCCTGGTTGCAAACAAGCTGTCAAGAATGAGAAGCAGAAAACAAATTTTCCTCTTACCACGGCAGACATCCGGAATCTCTGATGACATGTTCATCCGGCCAATCAGACTGCTCGCTGATAAGGGCAAGTCCCGCCCCTTAAGGGGCAGTCATAAATGTGAAGCGCAGCTTTTTGGTGCCTTTTATGTTAGCAATATTTTAAATGCTGGTATGCACTAGAAATACAAGTTATTTTGCTTGGAAATCATTTAATAATTGGTAGATGGATTAAAAAGAAAGATGTATTTTATGGATGTTTACCGTCGCAAGCCTGCGGGGCAGCCCTTACGTAACTACGTCATGACCGCTGGTACGAACGTCGTGTTGTGAGAGATGGCGACCAGGATGTCACACATTACTTATCCTTAGCGATGTTTTTACTTACTCATCTGTGGAATAATTAACCTTTTTTGATTTCACATTAACGTAATAACCGGACACTATGGAGGAACCGTGGGATTTTGAGTTTCTGTCTCGTATTGCTGACGGCTGCTTGTCGTTCCTCTCAGAATTTGTGAACGACTGGCTCGCAAACGACATGAGAGTCTGCATATTCAAAATCTTACTCAGCTGGTTAATATTTAGTCTCATCGCTATTCACTTTGCGTGGAAATTCTACGGGAATACAGTGAACGACATGTACTATCGACAAGGTGAGTTTTCCGTCGAGGTTATCTATCACAGTAGATAAGTGCACGCACAGGCCCAACACGTTGTCTTTATTTGTGTGTGTGTGTTGGTGTTTACGTTCAGGGACTGGGCAGAACGGAGGCACACCTGATACAGCCCCTCACCTGAGTGGATGGTAGGTGTCCGAGCATCCATGTCGCTTCAGACAGGTAGACTACCATCCTCAAACTGTGTGGTGCTCTGAAGCTTCAGTTATTGATTGGTCAATAAAGGTCATTCAGGATCCGACGAATTCATAATGCATGTTATTGTTCAATTCTGCTGTGGTTTAATAGATACAATGCATTGTATGTATTATCTATATATATGTGGTGATGGTGGGTAACTGTTTACTGATCAAACTGAAGTTGTACACCTTCCTGTTTTAAATTGTTTTGCTAGTAATGCAATTTTTTTTTAAATTCCCACAGGGAAAGTAAAGTAGGAGAGACCCTGAAGACTCACCGAGATTAACAGGACAATGCTGTTGGATTTCGGACCTGTTCGGAGTGAAAGTGGACATTTTACATTTCCTATAGACTCAAGTTTTGCTGATAATGAAGCGTCTTCAGTGCATTTAAGATGCAGCCAACTTCTGTCAACTACCCAGAGGATTATCTGTTATCACTGAAGTTGTCACACTTTTATCCATTACATCATTTTTTTAGTGCTGTGTTATTTAATTTGGCTGTTAGCGAACCACCATCTGTAAAAATGTGAAAATATGATGGCCTTGTGTTCAGATTAAGGGTGCTTCAATAACATATTGGACATACAAGTTCCACTCTGACCATGAGCACCGTATTTAAACTTGATTTGTATGTGCTATGGCAAAAAAATAAAGAAAGCATGGACAAGACACACAGGCTGATTTTGATTAATTTATTATGTTAATCTTCAGTTGCATCAACGGGAGTGAGTTAATGATGTGCACATGCATTACAGTATTACAGGGGACAGGTTAATTTCTAATTCTGCATAAAAAAGATACACACAGCCTGGTGGGATATAGATCCCTGTAAAGCAGGTCATGTTTTTTTTTTTTTCAGTGAACTTCATAAAAGCACTGCATTATCTGCACATAGTTTTTTTTCAGGTAAAATATCAGTACATGACATATAGGCATGTTTTAAGGTAACTTGAGGTTCCAGAAGAGACCAGCAGCAACGCTGAAAGATAAGATGGCTGCTTTGTTAAAATAGCTGTTAAAAAGTGGTTACAAAGTGTTTGTGTTTGAAAATACTGATTTCCCTGACGTCTTGAAAAAGCGTTAGCTGTATTGTAGAAATGATGATTGACAAGTTCAGTAATTAGATATTCTTCAGTTGTGCTCTGCTAATAACAAAACTTGTGACACAACTGCCAGTAGACTTTAATACTTCAGTTTCGAAAATGACAAGTCATATAAACAAATTGAGTACTCTAAACATATCCACTGGAATTCAATGATTTTATTTTTTGTGCATTTAAATCATCTTATAGTAATGGGGATTGGTGGAATAAGTAGCATGTGCACATCCATCACATTGGTGCAGGTAAGACCAGGTACAAGTAAGCGCTTGCCAGCAGAGAGACTTGAGAAGAAGGTGTTAGAATCATTGTTGGTTAGAAAGGTATCGATGTGCAGCCCCTGAGCTTGTGCCTCTTCATACAACCCCCCATCAGTGATGGCCCCTGCTGCCTCAGTGGGTCCATCCTGGCCGTCAGTTCCACCACTCAGGAAGACTGGACCATTAGGTGGGATCCCCAGGTCTCTCAGCTCCACTCCCACTCTCATAGCTAGCTCTTGGTTTCTCCCACCTCGACCCATGCCCGTCAGCTCCACAGTGGGCTCACCTCCAGCTAACAGACATGTGGCCCCCCACCCTTCTGTACGCCCTTCACCCAATACCTGCATGGTGCGGCAGAGGTCCCAGCTCTCCACACCAACCTCAGGCCCCAGCCTCAGCATCTCAGCAGCAATCTCTGGAGGAGGCTCCTCCCGAGAGCAGGCAAAGCGGGCCAGGAGGCCATAAAGTCTAGAGACTGCCCTCACATCGCCACACACTCCTGGTGCCACCACTACAGGGCGGAAACCAAGCTCACGAGCACGGCGACCTGCACACATGAGGGCGACACTGTTTGAGCCGATCACAGCATTATGAACATATTCTGATGCAGTGGATTCTTCCTTAGTCTCCTTCCAATGAGGGCCTGGTCTCCCAAGGACTTCCTTTATTGAGGATGGAAGAGAGTTCAACAGCTTGTAACGTTCAAGGACTGATAGGACTTCTTCAGGCCACACCTCACCCCGCACTGTGGGGCCGCTGGCGATCAAGTCCAGTGGGTCCCCAATTACATCTGACAATATCAGCGCAACCACCTGTGGTAAAGTCAGAGGTTTGAATTTCAGAGAATAATGCCGAAATTAAAAAAAATACATCTAAAACATTCCAAATAAAAATACGATACCTTGGCAGGGTGAGCAAAATGTGCAAGTCCTCCACCCTTTAGGAAAGAGAGAGCACGTCGCACTGTGTTTAGCTCTTGAATTGTGGCACCAGCAGCTGCAAGTTTGCGGGTAACGTCCAATTTCTCTTTCAGTGAGATTGGTAGGATGGGCGCAGGTAACAATGCAGAGCCTCCACCTGGACACATTTTCACCACAATGTATACATGAGTTTCATTTCTTTCTTTCTTTTTTTGTTAGAGAAAAAGCCACAAGAGAAGACTCATCTTTACCTGAAATCAGTACCAGCAGAATGTCATTTTCTGTCAGTTCACTTGCCAACTGCTTGATCTCTTCAGCTGCCTTCTGGGCATCAGTATCAGGCAGGTTGTTTTTAGCCCCCTCCATTACTTTGATGCGACTGTTTTCTTTCAACAACAGATGTCTATGACGGAAGAGAAACAATTTACTATGCTACTTAGTGTTATTTATTGTAAGACTTAAAAGAAAAAAAAAATTCAACTAAGGCCTTTGTTTACCCTTTGCCATGCTCCTGTAATGTCTGCTGAATCCCCTTTGGTACGCTTATTAGTCCTTTGACTAAGTGGTCCCCCAGAAGTTTCTCTGCCTCTGCAGCCATACCAAGTACAGCTTTTCCAAAACCCACCAAGTGCAGGTTGTGTTTGAGTGTGAATTTGTGACCGTCGATAGTGACCGAGTCTTCCTTGCGCTTTATACTCTGTCGGACTATGGTGTCTGGCTGCACAGCTTCCACTGCAGCTGCAAAAACTAGGCGTGCACGAGAGTCCATTGACATCTTGCACAACGGAGGTTTCCACCTTCCAATGAGGGCCAGAAAAGGCTGGGGCCGGAACAGGGAAAGAACGCAGGCCATGGATAGTTCAGCTGGTCTGGGCACAAATTGCCTAAAGGATAAAAAAATCAGGAAAAGGGCAGATACTGCACAGTTAATCCTAAATCATTTTTTATTGGTTCAAAGTTACCTTTACCTTAATATAAGAGTGAGATTGGATAATTGTATTATAATAATATTCATTATTATTCACACTAATAGTCTCACAATAACTCAAATGTATGCATTTCTAAGTGGCCACATGGGCTCACATTTCTATGACATTTAAGGGGAGCGTGTGTTAATGTCAGAAGTTACTTCTATACTGCATGGTGTAGTGTGTTCAATTGAAATTATATCACAGCAACAGACTGGCACAGCTAGCATGTTGAACATTGAATAATGAAGCAGTGTTAAAATTAAAATGACATTTGCTGTAAAGTAATAAGAGGCAAGAGTTTGAAACTCTGTGCAGCACATCCGTTTCATGTTCTGTATTGAAACTGTGTTCAGTGCATTATCTCTAATAAAGTAAATAAATGCAATACAATTCAATAATAATATAATAGCCTGTGGATTCAATTCAGGCAAAATTATTTGGCCACGAGAGAAACTTAAATTGTTATTTTATACTCAATGCATAACTTTACTACAGTCCTGTAAATTTTGAAAAGACTACCAGTGGTACAATCTGAAGACAATAGTGTGCTGTGTTTTTGTATTCCTATTTCATTTACATAAATAAAGAACTGTAATAATTGTAATGCATCAGCTGTTAGCTTACATTAAAAAGGCTGAAACAGAAAACAGCCAAACCCTCCATAGAAAACAGTCATTATCATCTCAAGCAGGTGATACATTCCCCTTAAAACTGTGCTATCTGAAGACACATATGTCTGCCTACCTGTGAAGGTAATTATTGGGATATAAAGCCTGATTCCTGTGGAAGCCTGTTATCTGCACTCAAGCTCAGCAGTCTGGCAGTCCAGCAAAACTCTGACCAGGTACTCAAGAGAGTTGTGTACCCTATGTGTAATGATTGACTTGAATAGACCACTGAACACATCAAACTACCTACAAAGCAGCTCGGTTCTCTCTGTACTTTTTATTTAAATACTCAATATTTTTTTTAACAATAAAAGAGGATTCAGTGACATCAAAAGTTTGCACACTGCTGGTGAGCACGTTGGTGTTGACAGCATATTATCTGACAGGCTTTGAGCCATTCTTACTGCCACATAGTGCAAAGGGCATATAGCTTGAAGTTAGTTTAAACTGAAAGCACACTGGTCGTTGCACTACTTTTCTCTACCTTGAGGATATATCTGGATTAATGGTCTGCATTTATGTTCTGTTAGAAAACAAAACATGTCAGTGTGCATCGTGTGTTTATGACATCTAGGACCCCAATTCACAATTATGAAAAGGCAGGTAGCTGAACATGTACATTTGATGTACAAATAATGGTTCTTGTGATGCATTTATCTACAAATGGAAGTTTAAAATACATCTGGTTTCATAAAACCCTCTGCATTCAAAATTCCAGTCACACAATGTTTGAAAATTGTCTTTCTAGGTACATTTTTGCCAACATCTAATATCTATATGGAGTATATTACAATAGAACACTTTCTTTTAACATCTCTGGTTGTGGTTAGGTATTTAAGGTCATGTTGCAAATCAAGGACTTTTTTATAGCAGAATTGAATTTCTTGTGACTTTTTGTAGAAGTTTGAAGACTTTGATTTGTGAGAAACTAGATCAGCCAAAATAGGCATTTTCATCAAGGAATTTTATCTGACTACTATCTCTCATGATTTTTCACAAAGTATATCACATGTACAGTAAAATCTTATTCATATCAGCAACAAACAGTTATTTTCTTTTTAAATGATTGTATAAATAACTCCTTACAATTTTCCAGAGCACAAATTAGCCTACTTTTTTTAGGAGCTCATTTTGGGATTGACAAAGGACAAAAAAACCTTTCATCAAGCAAACTGGAAGCAGAAACTGTTTGATTGTTGTGCTTGAAAAATCACAAAGATTATCATGATGTATAATGTAAATGTCCTAAGTAAAAGTGGTTTGGTTTTATAATTTTGTTTTATAAAATGTAAAAATGTTTTTCAAAATGTAAATTTGTCTCCACACTTTGTAAGTTTGCTTTGAACTTCTCAGCCACCGTAGTATTATGGTACAAACGTTCCCATGACCTAATTAGGATACTAAATGAATAATTGTTGCCCCATAACAATGTGTACGTTACCATGGTCACCGTGAATACTTTACGCTATCCCGAGCAAAAGTTCAAACTCCTGACATAACACAGGGGCCTGACTTTCAAATATATCAAAGTTACTTCATACCTCTTTCTGTGAGGACGAAATTTCTTCTGCTTGTTTCCTCTGCACTTTAGCAGCGTCCATATTGCTACATGCCCTGGAGAAACACCTGGAAGTGGTTTGAAAAACAGAACAGGTACAGAAAGTGCTGGTGTAGGTACCAGGTACACTGGAACAAAGGTCTATCCGATTGTCTGAAACAACCACGCTATTCTTTCCTCGACGTGCTTATGAGCTGAGACTTGTTTATTATAACGTCTCAGCATTTGGGAAATAAGACAGCGCTATTAATAGTATATTTCTGGGCTCTTAAAATGCTCAATGGGTTTCTAGAGCGGAACTATCGCGATAACTACTGAATCATGTGATTTCAGATCTATGCGCGTACTCATTCCTGAATGTGCGCGTCACCGAAATGGCGAAGGCGGTGCTTTTGGGTCCCTCCTCAGAGTAGAAGTATTACAGGCGGGCTTTTGTCGCTTATTTTGAACCATACCTTACTTAAAAAAACAGTTTGCAACATTGTTGAACATTTGTATTTTTTGGGGGGACATCTGTACGCCGATTAAAAAGTAAAAGGAGGGCCTGCTTCCCCTCAGACACAGCTAGAGGCCACCATGAAGCTGACGGACAATGTGCTGCGGAGCTTCAGAGTTGCTAAGGTGTTTCGAGAAAACTCCGACAAAATTAACTGCTTCGATTTCAGCTCGAATGGAGAAACAATTATATCCAGCAGCGACGACGACTCGTTAGTCCTCTACGACTGTCAAGAGGGAAAGTAAGCGCAGATTCAATCCATTTCAATCGTATTGTTTTTTTGTTTTTTTTTACGTTAGCTCGCGTTGCTATGCTAGCTAAGTGAGGCCTGCTAATCACAAGCGATGGTATATGAGATGATATTTCTACCTGTGCATGTAACTAAAAAAAAACAAAAAAAAAACATAATCACTACATTGTGTCCTTATCATGTGTGTTAAGATAACATCACGCGATATTAAGCAATAATGTTTGTCCATCATTTAGGTTGGGAGTAGACAATAATCTCCCAAAATGAATCATAAGACCTCTGCAGTGATTTCATTGTATTGGAAGTTGATTTACAAAAAAAAATCTGCTGAATAAATGTTAGCGCCAAAAGCAGTGTTAATAAATGTGTTACACACCTCAAAAAACTCCTTCAGCATTTAGACATTTAGACAAGCTTAAAGGACGTTTCTCAGCATGTATTCTATATTTAATATGTTTTGATAAATGCACATAATCATATTTTTTCATCTATGTCGTTTGGGGATTAAAATGCTTATCTCCCTCATGTGCCCTGGTTTTTGGCAGACCCAAGAGGACCCTGTACAGTAAAAAGTATGGAGTGGATCTGATCAGGTACACACATGCTGCAAACACTGTGGTCTACAGTTCCAACAAAATCGATGGTATGTAGATGCACACATACTTGTTGGTAGTTTTCATTTAGTAACTTGCATGCATGAGGTTAAGTTTAAGCTTGAGTTCATAATGTTAATGAACAGCTCATCATGGGATCACATTTTACTTTGGTATGAGATACAATCAGACTTGTGTTAGTAGTCGATGTAGTTGTTGTGTTTTAGTTGACATTTGAACCGCCTCCCTCTGATACATGAAGGAACAATGACTGACAATAATCCCATCACCAATATAATGTTTTACTCGCTGGTCTGTTGTAGCTGTTTTAGTCTGTCCTCACTGTGACTTGTCCTTATTCGTTGTGGTGCATGTATCTTGGGTTTTATGTCAACAAGCCCTGAACAGTGGTTGATGTTTGCAGGATAGGAAACCCTTGAGGACCGCTGCTGAATTCACAGGAAAACACTGCTCACTTTGGTCTGAGGTAGTTGTTTGTACAGTTTGAGGGTCTGTGATTCTGCCCCATACAGGAGCTAACTGTACAAGTGACTGCCTTGCCCACGGTTGAGTCAACTCATCAGAACTGCCTGAAATCAATGTAATGAGAATTCTTGCTTCTGTTGGTAAATGATGTGCTGTTTTGTTCTTCTTGAAGATACTATCCGGTACCTGTCGCTTCATGACAACAAATACATTCGCTACTTTCCTGGGCATAACAAAAGGTAAGGACTGGATTATTGCTTCTCTAGATTTGAATGTAAAGGGATGAGTTGTAGGGTAAATATCATCTCATGAGTTCATTGTGTCTCTTCACCAGGGTGACATCTCTTTCCATGTCTCCTGTGGATGACACATTTATATCTGGCTCACTAGATAAAACAATCAGACTCTGGGACTTGCGGTCTCCGAACTGCCAGGTGAGTGCCTTTAGGAGAAATTCAGCAGGTTCTCTATTGGTGTTGTACTTGTATGTCATTTGGCGAGCGTTAAAACGAGATGCTGATCCCCTTTCTTCTGTACATTTTAAGGGTCTGATGCACCTGCAGGGGAAGCCAGTGTGCTCCTTTGATCCAGAGGGCCTCATTTTTGCTGCTGGTATAAATTCAGAGATGGTTAAACTTTATGATCTGCGATCGTTTGATAAGGTAAGAAGTGTAACTGTGTTAGTGCAAAGACATTACGTAATAATAACAATAATAATAATAATAAATCTATTTTGTGCAGACATTCACAATTCTTCATGCTTACAGGGTCCCTTTGCAACCTTCAAGCTTCAGTATGACCGGACGTGTGAGTGGACGGGACTCAAGTTCAGCAATGATGGAAAACTTATTCTTGTTTCTACTAATGGCGGAGCCCTTCGCATCTTAGATGCTTTTAAGGGTGCTGTACTACATTCCTTTGTGGTAAGGGACGGCTCATTGCCCGCATTATGTTAGGAATCTACTATCATTTAGAAAGAGAGCAGAGACAGATTCACATCTAAATTCAAAGTTTGTAGTGTTTGCTATTGAAACAAAATTTTAAACATTGGAAGAAACCCTTGCACAGTTCAATCACATTAAAACAGGACAGTTATATTAATTCGTTTTTTATTCATGTATATAAAAAATGCTTTTGTTTGTTTGTGAACAGGGATACAACAACAGTAAAGGTGTAACACTGGAGGCATCTTTCACCCCAGATTCTCAGTTTGTTATGATCGGTAAGTTAAGCTCAAACTCTCCCCCTTCGAAATACATTATTATTATTTTGAAAGTGGAAAAATAATTTGAGCCTGAGGTCAAGCTTGAACAGAATGTTCACTGCAGATCTCCCCACAAGCTCCACTGTTATTTCCCCATTACTCTGTAATGCAGTGTTCATGATGTTAATTTCTTTTCAACGTTTGAAAAGACAATTTGATTAGCTGACACCACTTAAGCGGAGTTAACATTAGTGTTACGGTTGATTTCATATTTATGTTTACCCCACCGTACCGTTTACAGAATGGTGTTTTTAATACCAGAAGAAAAAAGGTAGAAAAAAAGCAAAAAGGTGCTGTTCAATATGGATTTTGTTGGTGAGTGTGGTTAAATCCAAAATTCAGCAATGTCAACATGACATTTAACAATGAGCTCTTACTGCATGTTCTGTCTAAAAGACTTAACAGTTCATAGCTATTTAACAGATCGGTGTCTGATAAAAGACATCACTGCAGCAGCACACTTTGCAGTTGAGACACACACCTGACATGCATTAAACCCTGAAGTATGTAAAGGTGTGAGGGCCCGGTCAGTGCTGCTTGCAGCCCTGGTTACATTTGTTCTTCGCTTCTTTCAGGCTCTGAGGACGGAAAAATCCACGTCTGGAATGCAGAGAGCGGTATGAAGGTGGCTTTATTAGACGGGAAGCACACAGGACCGATCACCTGCCTGCAGTTCAACCCAAAGTTCATGACGTTTGCGAGTGCCTGTTCCAACATGGTAAGTTGGGGGGGGGGGTCTTTATTTAGTGAGTTTCATCACTGAGTCGTGAAGGACTTTGTGAAAGTCATTTTCAACTGTCAAAAATAATGAAAACAAAATAGTTCTTGTGACTATACAATCTACATTTCTTCTCATCTTTCAGGCTTTCTGGCTGCCCACGATTGACGACTAAAGACATGAAAACAGGGCTCTTTGTTGATTGCAAGAGCAAACGAAACCAGCAGGGGTCAGCACTTCTGGTTCTGTGTGTGACTATCACAGGAAGTGTGGCCCACTAAATACAAATTGTAAATAAGTTGTCTGCAGAATGAGATCGTTTGTCTATTCTTTTTTATATTTCTATTTAACATTAAACAATTTCTTTGTAAAATGATGTTTTTGTCTGATTTAATATATGGCTTTAGAGAGTTTGTGTATATTGCACAGGTTAAGAGAACTTATGTTAAATGAAGCTTAAAACTAAATTCAACCCCTGAAAAAAAATCCTTTATTGGCAAAAAATCTGGATTCATTAGAGTGATCTTGATATAGATTTTCACTAAATGAATCACACTTGTAACTCCTATAAAGAGTTGTGTTTTGTTTTACAATTTTTGATGTTCATTCATATGACTTGTTTCAACTCTGGCGGGTCATTTTAAGCCTAACGTTTGTTTTTTTGTTAAATTTCATTTAAAATGAATGTATAATTCATAGCAGTAAGTAGCTTATTGTTCATCAGCATGGATTCGATATTGGATAAATGTTGACAGCATGGCTGTGTGACTTGACGCCTTAAAAAAAACATCTTACACAATCTGTTGACCCTCACAGTTGTCACGTGGAGTAAGTTTAGAGATGTTCCATGGACTACGATGTGTAAGTTGTGTAAACTTTCCAAAGCAATATGTCCCTTTTGAACTAATGTGACTCCCTTCCAACGACCAAAACAGCTGCTGACACTTGTGAACTGGTAACCTGTGGGGCTCTTTTCTTCTCAAGGAAAAATCAGCGTAACAACTGACGCTTATCTATATTCTAATTCCTCAGTCACATACTACATTATACTGTACCAGGCCGTCTGCACCTCTCAGGGCCCTATAATGCAGCTACCCAGAGGAAGAACTGACAGCAAATACATTGGTTTGTGATGTGCTTCTCTTGTATTTGCAGTGCATGACCGCCTTACAATTGAGCACTGAGAGGTTAGTCATAACAGCATCTATTCTCTTGGCAGTAATGTTGGTTATGAATGTTAGTTTGTCCTGGCTCGTGGCACAGGACATGCTGAAAGAACAGGTGGAGCAGGAAAGGTTGCATGCTGGTCTGACTTTCCCATAAATTTAACACTTTACTAACATGGAGACAACACACCTGACTTAAATTGTTGGCTCAGAAGTTGGTAAGTAGGTTCACAGGTCAGAGTGTCTTCCTGCGCTTTAGGTCTCTCTGTGGTGGTGGTGGGGGTTTCATAGGCCAGTTCACAGGACCAGACAGTCAGCCAGTGGGAGCTAAATTTGGCAGAGAGGTGATCAGGTTCCCTCTCTGTGTGCACATGATACTGTCCTAGTTACATGTCCCTTCCCACACTGTGTCAGTCTCTCGTTGGGTCCAGACACCTTCACTGATCATTTTCTTTAGAAGTAAGTCAGAACAGAGACATCAATATAACTAAAGGACATTTCAGAAGCAGGTTCCGCCTTTTGGACTTTAGGGTCTTTTCTTCGACTGAATATTTTTGGCCTGCTGCTGTGGAGCACCAGTCCTCTCTGTTGCTGATCCTCTTGTCTCCCAGTTCCACTGCGACAGCTCCTGGCGGGAGGAAGAGACTGCTGACCCGCCATGTTCCTCGCACTTGTGGTGACGCCAGAGTTGAGGAACTTCCTGGCCAGGGCGAGAGGTGGAGGGGTGCGCCTCATCAAGGTGCGCATCCAAGATGGTAAGTGACCCAGAGAACAGTGGACAGTTCAAGTCGCACTTAGTGAGACAGTATAGTTTGTAAGATATTGGCAACATAGGTCATGGCTTTAGTTTTGTCAATTATAGAGTTCTTAAAATGACTTCTTGTTAGGTAATTTAATTTATTCTATTAAAAGTTAGCATTAGAAGTTAGAGGTTTAGTTCCTTTGAGCATAAACATTTTAAACAAGCAGGCGGGCAGCTGTACACAATAAAACTCCTCATGTCAACTCAGCTGCTGTTTTTACCATGTTTGGGAATGTTGTCCCTTCAAAATTTAAAATGTCTAGCTGTGTGCACATGACGGCTTTGATACTTCAACAGTGAATCACAAGTTTTTCCTGATTCGACTTTTAAGTTCAAATGAAGAAAGGAAGAAAAACAGACACTTGGAACTCAGTGTTTTTTAAAGCTCAACTTAAACAGTCATTAGTGGTTTGGTAACCTCTCTGATTTTGATTTTGCTTTGGTCCTTTTGAGGGGTCTTACCTTTCAGGTTGGAAACCTTAAAACACAACATGCTTTATAGCTGAGACATGGCTGTTTATAACTTAAGGTTGAAAGAGTTTTGAAGGCCAATGGTTTCCAACCTGGGGGTCTGGACACTCACAAGGAGTTGTGAGATGAATCGAAGTGGTCATGAAACAATACTAAAAAAATATATATCTTTTTTTATCTTCTGATTTCTTCTTGTGAAGTCCTGAAGTTAATTTTGCTTCTTCTCAGAACCAGTCTGAAAATTTTCAGTTTAAAATTGATTATCTTGAGGCGCTGGTTTAGGTCTGTTGTTAGCGCAGGCGTCCCACATACAGAGTCTACAGTCTTCATCGCTCTGGTCTCAAGTTCAACTCCCGGTCCTAACACTGTTAGGTGCATGTCATCCCTTTCTCTCTCTCTCTCTCTCTCTCTCTCTCTCTCTCTCTCTCTCCCCCCATATTTCCTGTTTGTCTTCAGATGTCCCCTCTAATAAAGGCAAAAGCCCCAAAATCCCCCAAAAGTATTTTTCTAAAAGTCCCACTGTTCTAAAGGACTCCTCTAATCATTTGAATGAAACACGATGCTGCACATTACAGGAAGATTTTCTAAAGTTGTGGCTACAACTCAAAAAGAAATGTTGAAAAACCTGAAATACAACAATAGAACATCAGAACAGACAAATAGTACTTATTCCAAACTTTGTTCGAGCCATGAACTTTGAGGAAAGACATCCTGTTATTTCCAGCTACTTTCTTTATTTTAAAAATAAAAAAACTGGTTATTGTTTCCATCCAGATGGCTGAAAGGAGCATTTAATAGATTCTAGGAACACTTTCAGAACACTAGTTATGTTTAAAAAAAATGAAAACTGCAGGGCTTTTCAAAATTCTCATGTTGAGAATTCTCATTCTCAACATAATTGCTACGCTGTGTGACTGAAGTTTAAAGGCGATACACGGGAGGGATAAACTTGTGTCTTGTGTGAGGAGTAATTGTTTAGATGTGGCTTCTTATTAAGCGTTCACAGAAAAAAAAAAAAAAAGTAATCAAACACTGCTCTGGACTTTGTGTAGCTTCTAGGAAAACGGGATTTCATCTGTATTGCGGGGACAGGCGTTCAGTGTGTCAGCTGAGCAATCTGCTGTGAGCAGTGAGGCAATGTGTGTGGAGGCAGCAGATGAAGGGCAGACTGATGTGTTCATGAGGTGTTTATGTCTTGTTTTCTTATATGACCTGCACCACACTTGTAATCGGACTCATGACTGATGCATTCTTGGACAATTTGGAGCTATTTTTGAGGACTGTGGAAATCATGTTGAGGATTTGGAGTCTTATTTGGATGTGTTGATGTCAGTAGAGACAGACAGAGAAAGGATGTCAGGTCTGTTTTACTTCCATTCTAAAGTACCCTCAGCTTCCCAGGCGTCTCTTGGATATTTTAAGCAACATGTGACTTGACATGGCAACTTGTTACTGCCCAGTGACACTCAATGTTTTCTCCAATGTCAAAAGAGAAACAAGATCATAGGTGATTTCATCGTCGTTGATTTGATACAGCACATGGTGTCCATTTACAAAACTACCTGGCCTTACATTCTCAATTTTATTTATTTATTGTTTACAAATTCAAGGACAATAAACAACACCCAAACTAAGTAATTTCCATAACATTTTATACTTATGTGGACACTTGAAAAACGGGGACAAACAGAGAATGGCTGATGGAAAGTATGCGTGTTGCAGAGCAGGAATGTGTTGTGGCTCGGAATAGCACCATGCCCCCAGAGACGGTCAGGAAATCCCCCCCCCTGCACCCCACAAGGACATCAGGCTTTAGATGTTGTTTTGTTTCATTGAGCCATGCTGTCAGGGTTTGGATTGTGTTGTCGCATGTGTCCCCTTACATTAGAAGACTTAACCACAACATGTCAAGTCTGAACAAATATACTGTATATACCAGAGGGGTTTTTCTTTGCAGCCTTTCATTTACAGAACATGGAGCAACACAGAGAGCAAACAGTGAAGCCTCGAGGGCGTTGCTAACAAATATTGCTAAATTTACATGAAAAGCTGTACTGTGTGGACGGCTGAATTAAGAGCTTAAACAATTAGTATATCAGTTATCCCACCAGCAATTACTTTTGTAATCAGTCAGAAAACTCCGGTTCTATAACTTCTCAAATGTGAAAGTTTACAGATTTCCTTTGTTTTGTGACTTTGTTAAATGAATCCTTTTCTGGAGTGTTTTTGGTCTAAAAACAAAAGTATTTAAAATTATCATCTCTGCCTGTACAAAACTATACAAAAACTTATATAATAATAATAATAATAATCAACCTTTATTTAAGTTAAGAGATTGTATTTGTACCAGCGTGCAACAATTTGAAGCCTGTTTATTTTTCAGTGATGAAGACAGTTAGCAGAGATTAAATGTAAATGTCATTCTTATGGTCAAAGAAGAAAATAAATAAATACCCCCAAAGTGTCAAAAAATAGTTTAAAAATAGAAAAACCTACAATGACTTGGATGAATGTGCATTATCAATAACAGACAGGACCAGTGAGGACTAGTATAAAGCATCACTTCACTGGAGGGAGAGGGAAAGTGTTGGAGAAGTAATTTAGTGAAACAAGTGAAAATCTAAAACAGTTGGAATACATTTTTGTTCTCTTTCATTTTTTTTACCTCATTTTTTTCACGTTTTGTTTAAATGGTATGCCAATGACCTGACTTTTCAAAATGTTTTTATGGTTTTCAACTGTTCATATTGAATGATTGCAGGTTTTCTATTATTGGCTTGGCTTGCTATTTGCTTGTGTATTAAAAGTCATAAATTAATTAAATTAAATTGTACTGCATGCTTAAAAGCCCTTAGACATCTTAACACATTACAACATCTCATTTTCAACAATGAACCCATACTTTATAGAACATTACATAATCAAATTGCATTAATTCTTCTAAATGTAAATGCTCACTGCTTGTGACTGCAGACGTTAGCTGTCGTCTCTTGACAGCTATATCAAGTATGTTTGACTGTGCTCTGTAAAGGATATGTTACATACAGGGAGAGCGTCAGATATGTGATGAGTAGTGGTCTGACTTTCAGAACAGCTGGTGCTGGGCGCCTACAGAGAGCCAGAAAGGAGCTGGGATGAGGACTATGATCACTTCCTGCTTCCTCTCCTCGACGACCTGGAGCCATGCTATATCCTGTACCGTCTCGACTCCCAGAATGCACAGGGCTACGAGTGGATCTTCATTTCTTGGTCTCCAGACCAGTCTCCAGTATGTCACAGCATTACGATTCAAGCACTGCAAAGCTGTAAACACACGTTGATGTTCCAATTCAAACGCTTCAAATTAAAAGGATATTAAAGGAGTATTCCACCTATTTAGCACTTCATTCCCTTGAAGATGTGGGATTTGTGTAAGTCACAATTAAAAAGAAGTCCTAGGTATCATACACACTGTCTATTGGTTGCACTCATTGTATTAACATATTTTTGATCATAAAACAGCCTTGAGGTAAAATGTAAACTCAGAAAACTCTGTATCAAATTTACATACACTTAACCCAGCAACAAAAACAAATCTAATGACACTGATTTTAATGTACTTAGTCTAAAGCATCATCTGATGGAACTGATGACATCATCAAGGTAACTGGATGAAATGGTGTAGTTCACCTTCAAAACTAAGTTTTCCCGTCACAGAAACATACAGTATCCAAACAGCTCATTGATCTTCCCCTCGGTTGGTTTCAGGTGAAACAAAAGATGTTGTATGCAGCAACTCGTGCCACAGTGAAGAAAGAGTTTGGCGGTGGCCATGTGAAGTATGAGATGTTTGGCACAGCTGAGGTGAGAGAAATTCAATCCATTTCATTTGACTGCGGCAGAACGTCTATTCTGCTTTGATGACCTGTTTTAAAAGGTGTGTCCTGTAATGATCCTTCTTGCTTTTGCTTGCATCACTAGGAGGACATCTGCTTGCTGGGCTACCAGCGTCATGTGTCATCCTGCTCTGGTCCTGCCCCGCTCACATTAGCTGAACAGGAGCTCCAAAGGATCAAAATCACAGAGGTGAAAGGTCGACTTGCCCTCAGTTGTGATGACATCACTGCATGGGCCCTGTCTGCATGTGTTTTCAACTTATCATCTTCCATCTTTAATGCAAATCTTTGTGTTTGTGTTTTTAGGGCTGGGTTAAACAGGTATGTTTCTGGTTTGATTTGAGAAGGGAAAGTCAATAAGATTAAAGCTATACCTGAACTGAAATTGTATCTTTTTGTGGCTCATTCTTTAGAGGCCTTGATAAAAAAAAATGTGTGTGTTGCTTGCTGCCCCCTGCAGGTGAAAACAGAGAACAGCGTAGATAGTAAACACCAGACGCTTCAAGGCCTCGCCTTCCCTCTGCAGGAGTCGGCCAAAAGAGCTTTTCAGCAACTTGCCCAAAAACGTATTAACTACATACAACTGGTGAGCCTGAAGAGTTCATACTGGAGTTCTTTTAAAAACACTCAGGCATTGCTGATGTATAAGACATATATTATTTAACACATCAATTCAGTACATATTTGCATTATTCTTGTGTTTCAGAGGTTGGATGTAGAGAAGGAGACAATTGATCTTGTCCACTCCAACCCGACAGAAACTCGGGAATTGGCTCGCAGAGTTCCCAAAGACACTCCCAGATACCACTTCTTCCTATACAAACACTCCCATGAAGGAGACTACCTGGAATCTGTCGGTATGTCACTGATCCCATAATCCCCCTTTTTCTACATTTGTACAAGATGTACACTCATGATTGAGGAAGGGGATTACATCCTGTGTGCTCCTGGTCTGCAGACACAGAGAGACGCTTAGAGAAAGCATTAGTTCATCCCTTCTTATCTGTATCTGTTGTTCTGAACTACTTTTACAGGCTTAACATTTAGGTAGAACTTACTTCTGACTTGTGTGTGATTTTTTTCTTTTCCCCATTGTTTCATCTGAGAGATTTGCATCAGTCTTACATGCAAAAGCATATAACCTTATGAAACTAGAATGAGCTACATTTTGTCAGAGAAGGATTTTTCATGTTCATTTTATATACTGTATTTGTTTTAATTCTTTGTTCATCAATCCTATGCAGCAGTCTTAAACTGCTCCTCTGATGTTCTTACATCTTAATGGGATCTGCATTAATATCATATCAGTTTTAAACATCTTTTGCAGTATTGTTTTTCTGATTAAGGTTACATAATTTATTCATTTTTCTGTCTTTTTTTGGTAAATTTAGAGTCACACCAGAAAAAAAAAAGTATTTATGTATTATTATTTAGCAGCTTTCTTAATCGAATTCTAGGAGCTGCAATTTGTATTTTTGTGTCTTTCTTAAATCAATAACATATTATATTTTCATACTTTGTTCGACATTAAATTTTGACGTAATTTGCTATATGTATTCTATATAAGTGTGATCATTTACCAATTCATCTCAAATTTAATGTAATTCTTTTAGGCACTGGTGGTGGCTTTTAGTTCTTGAATACTACACATTACTCTGTTTCTGTACTTCCTGTGTTGTTATTGTTTTTAAAAGAATGTTTAATTTGTTTAAAACTCAGTTTTCAACCATTTTTATTCTTATGTTTAACACTTTTAACAATCTTTGCAACCCGATTTTCCACTTATTTAATGTATATGGGGGCATCTTGGATATTTGGTTGAGGATTTGAACAACTGATGTGTATCAACATCAAATATGTATAATTCTTAGAAGTCTTCTTCTTCTGCCTTCCCTTTCTACAGTGTTTATTTACTCCATGCCAGGATACAGTTGTAGCATTAAGGAGCGGATGTTGTATTCCAGCTGCAAGAGCCGATTATTGGAGGATGTGGAGAAAGATTATCACTTGGAAATTTCTAAAAAGGTAACAGAATGAGAAAATACTGACATAAGAGTTTCATACAGGGACTTAGCTACCACTAAAATGTCAAGCTGGAAGACTGAATTTGCAAAAAAAACATTGAAAGGAAAAGTTTTCAACAAGTGTGTTTGTTTGCACACACTATAGTGAACCCTGCTAGGCTTTAACCGTCTCCACACCCTAAAGCCAACTTCAGAAGTTGGACAATGGGTTTTTTTGATACAAGATTGGCTTCATTACAGTCAAGATGGCTGCAGAGATAACAAAAATCCACACACATGCGCGACTGAATGCATGATCCCCTCCGAGCTTCAGGCATTGATACAAATCAAATTAATTAAACAAAATCAGGGTGTTTGTTATGTGAATTTTTACTCCTAAAAACTGTTCAGATCCAAACTGTTACCACCCCAAGCATGATAATTAGCGTCAAACTTATTTATGTTCAATGGCGTCAAATGGATTTTTTAGGCTTCAACTCTGAGTACAACACTTTGTTCACCAGTAGTTTTTATTACATTTATTTTCTTCTTTTTTTTGCAGCTGGAGATTGATGATGGAGATGAACTGACAGAAGATTTTTTGTATGAAGAGGTCCACCCCAAGCAGCATGCCCACAAACAGGCCTTTGCCAAGCCCCGCGGCCCCGCAGGGAAGAGGGGACACAAGCGCCTCATTAAGGGTCCAGGAGATAAAGTGCAGGACAGCTAGAGGAGGGCACATTTCTGATATGGTGGAGTCTGCAGTTCAAGCCAATCCCATCTCCCCCAGCCCTGCTAACTCCTCCTCAGGTCCAGTGGAGTGGACATGGGGATGGATTTCCTCTGCTGTTTGTTGACTGAAAAACTTGAGCTATATTACAGATTTGCTTTAATGAACAATTCTAATGAATGACCTTCAAACGTGTCACTTCTACAGACAACAAGTCCCACAAGCATATCAGACACATAAATCTAAAGCGGCCGCTGCCATTGTGAATTAAAGGTCTGGTTCTTCCATACTTAAAATAAGATGCGTTAACTAGACTTGATGAACAGTCTGATGTTTCAGTCCTAATTAGTAGTCGCTAAAAAAAGTTTTGTATAAACATGCAAGATTCACTTGAAGACTTGAAAGGATATTCTAAATAAAATCGTGTTTATACTGTGGTTTTTAGATGTTTCTTGGTACAGATTTGAGTACTCCTATTCGTCATGCATGGTCACATGTCTGTATATTTTCTACATGGTTAGCATGGTCATGGGATTACTATATCTCAGATTGAAGACGTTCTAAATTTAACCATCAGCTGTACATTCAGGCATTTATGCTCCAGTCGTCAACACCTTCTTGTCAATTCAGGGAGTTGAAGTGAGTTCACAGTTGTTGAAAGGCTGCACTGTTTTGATATACCTGCATGCAAATCAATTTCACACACGTTCTGCCCTGTGTGGAGAAACTTTTCACAACTGTTAAGAGCACTTTTGATGCACCTCCACATCAGACGGTTTTGTCAAGCTGCCCTGAAGGTTATCTAACCTGTGAGATCAGTTTGTGTGGATTTTGCAGCCTTCATGCCTTTTCAATCCTCCTCTGTGATTGCGACATGCTGCTGCAGAGAACCAAAACACAAAATCAAGGTTGAATCTGGGATAAGCACTAATGGTTTCATAAGTGCTAATCTGACAGGGAAGGGGAAATCCTAGTCAGCTTTTCAATGAACTGGTCATGAGGGTGGTGATTAAAAATCTTCAGCTGAATAGATGCCTTCTTGTTTTTTTAGATGAAAGGCCTTGTCATTACTGTAACACAACTATAGCCATGTTGGCACCTCTGTCAGGCTGCACAGTCAAGATACGAAAAAACTCAATGCATGCTTTAAATGATAGCATGTAAGTATTTTTTAACACCATGTAGTTGATAAAATGTGTTTATCAAAAAAACCCTGGTGTTAAAAATAGAAGCAAATATGAGAAACTGCACCATGAGCGTCCACTAGAGGCTGGCCGCAAAAGCCAAGGAATCCCCATTAGGTCATATCAGTCATGGTCTCAATAGCTAATTTCTTAATTGTTTCATATTGTGCAGGTGGTGATTTATTTTAAAACTCATCCACTTGAATTGTATTAAGCCTAGGAGTTATTCATAAATCTTCATATTTAGGGGTGTTGCTGAGTTGACTGACAGGGGTTTTTGTAGCGTTTGTTTGTCAGGAGGCAAAAGGTCCATGCACCTCAGCTCTTTGCCTGTTTTTAGATTGATCAAAGGTTTGGTTTAAATTAACATTTCAAATATTGCGACCACCTATGAGTGACATCACTGAGACTACGTCCATGTTTCATATAGTCTTTGATTCAGACCAAGTAATTTTACCTGACAAGAGGAGTCTCATGATACAGAGAACAACTACTGGGACCTTTTTCTATTCCTCACTCTTCTTCAAGTGGTCTGAATTACATTAATAACCATTACAGCACAGTGATTTGATAAAAAAACAAAGGAACAATAAACAGACTCTTATTATACTGATAGCTTGATTTGGATTGCAGTAATGGGTGACATACACACAGTAGCAGTACCAGTCCACTTCCAGTGAAGTTCCAGAAACCCATTATGAAAGTGGAGCAGTATGAATAATTAAATAAACAACACATTCAATCAAAAATAAAAATAAAACTTTTGTACTCTATCAGTATGGTCTGCGGCCTACACCTATGAGTGTATAGCTGTTAGATATTTAGTTTAACAGCACTCCCTCTTGATTGTCATTGCTAATGCTGATACTGATAATGAGAATGTTAGCTGCAGACATTTTGTCTTTACTATACTTAGGTTACTAAATCAAGATTAAATCTTGGGAGTACCACTGTATAATTTACTCATTTCTATTGCATTATGTTATATATTCACCACTAGTATGGCTAAAATGAGTTGTCACATTTTGAACATTGTGACATGCAACACATGTGCACTATTAATGTATAGATGAAAATGGTAAATGGACTTGAGCTTGTATAGCTCTTTTCTGTCTTTTTTTTAACTCTGCATGCCACATTCATCTATTCACACCACGCTACCACACTGATGACTGAGGCTGCTATGTAAAGTGTCCGTCACACACGCCGAGCAATTTGAGTTTCAGTGTCGAATCCAAGGACGCTTCAGCATGTGACTGCAGAAGCAGGGACTCGAAGCCACGGTTGAGAGACACCCGACTCTACCACTGACCAAACTTCACATTTAAATGATTTCACAGATTTTGGCAAGAACAGTTTAAATTCTATATCTTGACAAGAATTTCTTCAGCTGGCTATAGGAGGGATTCCTCCACAGTTCTTTATTGGCTTGGTACCTGAGAACAAAGAGCTGCAGTTGAATTGGGTTTCTGTTTCTAGGTAATTGCAGATATTCTCAGAATCTTGGGAACAGCTATTTTTCCATCAGATTCAAAGAGGACAACAGCTATTCAATGTGTGCTATTCAAAGATATCAGCATACAAATACATGGCTTCTCTGGTGTATATTTGTGGAGTGTTGTGCAGATAGGCAGCTTTGTCCAGCAGTCTAATGCATGATCGAAATGAAGGCATTAGTCACAGATGAAAAAGGTTAAAATCATTTGTTACAAGGAGGTTAAAGCTATAGCACTGCTATATCACTAATCCCAGATTATTTTTCAGGAACACATCACTGAAAGGGCAGCAGTGTTTGTAAATGAAATATGAAACGTAATAGTCAATTTAGGGAATTGCTGGATTTGTGAGAAATATGATTATTTGCTTTAGACATTAGACATTTTCAATGGTTTTAGGTTGTGGAGGAAGTACTGACACAAACAATTATTATATTATTGGAATATAATATTCTCTCAACTGGTAAAACTGACTTGATTTTACATATCCTACTAAATATACAAACTATTCATAATTCAATTTTGAATTATTAATGTAGCCTATTTATGTTTTTGGTCCTCTTTCAACATAACATTGCTCTGTGAGTATAATGAATCTCTCAAAAGTATATTCACTTCAAAATGTTAAATTCTTGTTAGAGGTTTCAAAAGAATGACACCTACTGGGGCCTGAAAGATTGATACAGTGTTTCATCTTCAGATTCTTAGTATCTCCCCTGCCTTCCTCGTACAGTTCTCTCCAGTAACCACAAGTCATCATCATCCAGATGGATCTAATTTTATGTCCCTGGAGTCTGTCCTGAACTTGGGAAAGCCGCATTTTTCAGAGTATGCTCTCTAGGATTTCAATTCCAAGACATCCTTCATATTGAAAACATTAGCACTCAAAATACAATTATTTTCTGAAGACAGTGTTGTTTTTTTCCATCAGCCTTTGGGATGCAAAATAAAGGGATGTAAATTTAAAAAAACAAGTGTGGCGTTCATTTCTCTTCCGAAAGTAAAAGAAGAAACACATTTGTTAGACCACATCCAGAGGGGATGGATGAAGTCCAAAAGACTTCTTAGAAAAATATCTCACTTCTAAGTTTCGTGGAAAAATGTGAGATTCTGCTATTTGGGATCAGCAGGTTCTCGTGGATAGATTTGTTTGTAATCTACCAATGCTTCTTTATGAGAGAGACAGATTACTCACTGCTCAGACTTTTGTTGGACTAAATACTGATTGTTGCTCTGAACAAGATGTCCCTCTGATTATTAACCAGATGGTGATAATGCAGCATCAGCCTGAAGCTGTTATTATGCATTATTTTACTAATCAAAAGGATAATATTCAGCTAATGTGATTTCCTGGATAGTTGCCCTTGGAGATCTGAAATTGGAAATGTCAGCCGAGATATGTGTGCAGATATCTAGGCTATAGCTCCTATTTTACCATTTTCTATCTTGAGCCCTTATATCTTTGGATAGGCCTATTTAACTATTGGAAACACATGCTTTGATAAAGCATCGTAATCCAACATAAAAGTCAGGGTTACAAACGGAAACGACCCATGAACATAATGTTACTTATCTCTAGACTAACAGTGGCATTTTGTTTTATTGTGTTGTCAAGATAACTCCTTTTGTCGAGCGTAATTACTCCGACCAAAACCTCCGAGAAAACCTCTCGCCGCGTGTTTTTCCACCCTGGATCTAGGGAAATCTATATTACTGGAAACAGCCTGTGTGCATTCCTATTATCTTTAATGTCGAGGCGGTGAATTCCCCGAATGAATGCTCTGTCGGGGCCGCTCGGTGGGGCGGAGTCAACCCTGCAATTATTCCTGGAAAGCGGATAGGGAGAAGCTGCCGCGCGGTTCCAGGGAGCGCGCGCCGGTTTCAGCGAAGGCACGAGCCGCTGGGTGAAACAGAGGGAGAACAGCGGCCGTGACAAAGCTCAGCAGCAACATCATGAGAACATACTAATAAAATAACTGAAGTGGACATTTTCACTGACCAACTAAAACAAAGAGATGAAAGCTGTCACGAAGCGAAACAACCGGCCGCTGTTGGTGCGGTCGACGTGACGTCAGAGCCGCCGGTGCGCTGAAGAGTTCTCAGAATAGACTTCTAGGAAACAGTACATTTTAAAAGCCAAGCCTTTACACTCTGTCCTTCACGCATTTGGATATCATTCTGGCTACAACACACTCCGAACCGCTGCTGTTGAATAGACTTTGAAGGCTTTACATTATTTCTGTTTTTATTTCACACGGTGTTCGTGTTTAAAGTACAGGAACATCGGACCCTGTTTGGATACGCGGAGCTCTTCCTCGTCTGTCTTGTTTTTCGCCAATAACACACAGACTTGTAGACTTGTTCATATCGAGTCTAAGTTAAAGCCTTCTTTTTGAGCTGGATGTTTTTCGTTCACGCACGCAGCTTTGTCATATTCCTTGATAAAGAAGATTTATACTGACCGGATAAAACATAGATTCAAGAAATAATATGATCCTGTGTGTACCAGGGTGAGTCATGACTTTTCTTTGTGTCTGTGTTTTCTCCTTCCTTGTCCTTTCAAGGGAAAAAAAACTTTTTATTTCGATACAAATTACTTGTAATTTAGAGTTAAATTTGAACTGTTTGACAATGTACATGAGGCTATGTAAGGGGGGGACTAGTTCTTAACCAATTATGTTGATCTATATGTTATCTACAAACAAGTCCTGTTACACCAGTTTAAAAAAACTTGAAAAATGTCTTTATCTCTAATAG